ATGATGATTTATGTCTAATATCTTGTGGCACAAACTCGAAGATCTACAAGAAAGAATTAACAAGTTGACAGAAGCGATGCAGGGCAGCGAATTGACGTCTTCCTTCGGTTGAACGTAGAGAAGATAGAGGTGATGTGGATACCCAGCTAACAACAACAAGCACCAACCACCATGGGCGAGGGAAATCTGAAGGAGGTTGTCTCTTCCACCTACACCCACCTTTCTAGGCGGCATCGTTTCAACTACAGGTGGCGGCGGTGGCACAGATGAGGATGTCACAGCAGCCAGGATCGAATTGACAGCATGACAGGCCTTTCTGCATTAGTCTGAAATCATCACTGTGGAGATCTATTGCACTGCACTCCACTCAGCATAAAGCTTGAGCAACATCCGGATTTTGAACACTAATGCCAGTCGAGTAAGTCAGTGCTTCTATGTGATGGTTGAGAGACTTGGTGCGTTACGAAGAGCGTTTCCAACAGACTAAAGACATACATCACATCCACCGCTGCCGCCTACGCCTACGCTCGCTCGATACCGACACGGAAGATGTAGATCAGATGACCAGAACAATAAGAATAAGCAAGGAGGAAATGACTGTGTCTGGCTGGCTGGCTGGCTGGCTGCGAACCAACCAAGAAGCCATCACAGAACAAATATGCAGACGAAGGAAGCAGAGATGGATTGGATTGGGCATACACTGGAAACACCGACCGGGGATATCACGCGACAGGTTTGGCCGTCGAGTGGAAGCCAAATGACAAACGTCCAGTTGGGTGCCCGAGACGAGGGTGACGTGGAGTAGATGGTTTGAGTAAGAAATGGGGGTTTGTGGGTAGTGGTGGAGCGAGGTTGAAAAGATTGAAGAGAAGATAGTGAAATGATGGCATGCAACTGAAGCCTTATGTTCCACTAGGAATCCAAGCGACAAATTATCACAACGTCGCGCATAGCTTGTGCCATTTTTATGAAGTGAGAATCTGCAGAAGTATCCTCAGCGTTGCGCATGAAAGGCTAGTGCAGGTGTGGTAGGTGTCTGATGCGACTACAAGAGAGTCTAGTGTATGGAGTATCATAGAAGACTGTGTTCTTGCACTCAGTAAGCGTGATAAGTTGCCAGATACTAAGGATTTAAATAGTAACCGACCAAATTCCGGGGTCGATTTGGAAGCCTTCACTTTAGCCGGTCTGTTTTAAATCTGAAAGAATGTAACAGTGAAGAAATTTGCGTGCTAGCAGGAGTTAAACGGGTTTAGTGCAGCGCTGTTGTTGTGGTTGTGCAGGTCGGAACGACTACTGTGTTCGAACAGAAACTTACCACTTGCTGTAAAACTGAATTTGTGTAGCACGCTGAAGTGTCAGATAATTTTGGGCCGTCTCATCCAGATTGCTTTTAGATTTGGGGTCGTTTCTCGAATTTCGGTCCTTTATGCACTCATATCCTTTTAGCTTAACTGTAAAATGCCTGTGGACACCCTCGATCTTCAGTTTGCTATGTAGGATGAATCAATCGGGTTAAATTATGCCGGGCCTCCACGGAACCAGTAGTGGAAATGTTGCAGCGGGTCTGCTCTACTTCTAGAGTTTACCTGATTCCACGGAAATATCTAAGCAACATGCTTACTTTCCGAAGACTGTGCGTGCTTCCAATGGAATTGCCTCGAGCAGTTCAAAACCGGACAAATGACTGGCAGTACCATGAGCGGCCACATCCACAACAAGCCCTAAAACTACTCCAGTGACGGCCACTGGCGGACAACACTACAAATGGGCTGCGGTGGAAAACCAAGCTCGAACCGCCTGCTGAAATCCATCCAAAGTACCGGATAAAGTAGAGATTTTCGACCAATCGAACTCTGACATTCTGCTTGACGTTATGGTATGTAATGACAGCTTTCTAAGGCATGAAGTCAAGAGTGCCGTTAGCGGGAATTTTCGCTACCGTGAAGACAGACCTGGAACGCGGCAACAACAGGAGGCACCGGTTACTCCTCTTTTTAAGGTCGCCATCACTCTACACTGACATATTCAGAGTCAGACAAGCAACCTCCACCCAGCGCCGATCGTGCTGATCAGCCCGTGAAAAAACCCAGCCGAGCTGGTTCCATCGAAACTGACCGGTCGATAGGAACCTACGCCCGGACCCATATTAGTGGTTAACACAGAAATACCTTATGTTGTGAGAATCACTACCAAGTGCCTTCACAGAAACATGAGAAAGTCCGGAGGTAATGCGTCACAACCCCAAATCCTGTATTCCCATCTTTTTCTGAAAACTATGAAACATGGTTATCACCGGACACCGATGACACCGGCGCGAACATGTACGATATATTTTTGCTCAGGAGAGACAGGGAAAACAAGGACGGGGGTCGCAGTTCGCATGAGAAGAGAATTAAAGTGTGAACAAATTATTTTTGCTGAATTGGTAGAGCTCCCAAACACAGTCTAGTGTCACTTCACGGCCGAACACGCTGGGTATCTGGTTGAAGTAGTCAGTGGGTTGCCTAATAGCAAGGTGGAACAAAACCAAAACTACCCCGTGTAATGTCCACAGTGTCAACCATGAAGTATGACCGGATCCTAATAGTTAGTGACTTCAAGACCACAACTTCTAGCCTGGGGCACGGCAGTAAGCCTCCGAGCCAGAAGTTTGGCTGTAACCCGCTAAACTCCATCCGAATGGCCGTGCTTTGCGAAAAGATGAGCGACGATACCCGCTGGCGGCCAGAGGGTAGATCACCTTAAATGGATTGCCTGTTGACCAGTTGGTAGCTAAAAACGTCCAAGTTCAAACTCCTTTGGGGGGCCGTGATCATGCTTTGGAAGTGTTCGGTCTGGTAATCAGCGGACAGTCATTTGAGGGGATCTCGTCCTTGCTTGTCAATAGCTTCCTGGTCGATAGATTTGCCCTGCTTATCGGGTGATCAGTACTGGGAATTGGTAAGAGACATCATCAAAGTAGCGATTTCTGAAAGCGTCCCCTTGGTGGTAACAACACCCAGGGTGTGGTTGCATTAGCCCACGTGTGTTGAAACGATGAGCCGGTACCCCAAGTGACCCACTCTGCAACCTTTTACGAAACTTTTCGGATGAATAGAAGCTCCCATGCTAGTGGAAGATTGACATCCTCCCTCCCGTCTTCGAAGGAGGAAACATAGAGAACCCGAGCTGTTGCCGACCCATAGCACACCTACCAGTAACGTCGAAAGTTGTGGGAAACATAACATACAAGCATACCAGAGGATACCTAGACAAAAAGGAAGCACTCATCTGCGCTCAGTATGGCTTCTAATAGGCTAGGTCCTGTGCCTCCGACCTCACCGCAGCCCATGACCGCCGTAAAACACACTGGGACCTCGTGCGACTTTTCTAGTTTTCGCCAAAGCCTTTGATACAGTCTCGTACACCACCCTAACACACAAAACAAAAAAGTTGGGTACCCACTTCTAGGTCCTGTTGTGGCTCTGGAACTAATTAGGGGGTAGGGAGTTCTGCCCGAAGGCCAATAGTGCCCGCTCAACTTGGGCAACATCATCGTCCGGTGTAATGCAACGTACGATTCTTGGTCACTTGCGGCCCCACTGTTCGTGAATGATCGTCTGCCGTATATCAGCCCTCTGATTATCCCTTAGGCTGACGACGTCAAGTCATAGGCAGCAGTAACTTGCGAAATGTAATCGGACGCATCACAGGAAGATCCCGAAGCACTCAAGGAGTGGACGAAAAATAAGGAACTGCCACTTAATATGGATGAGTGCCAGTCCATATTTTTTCGTACTCCTGATGCACAAAAATGTCCTGTCTTTGTGGTTCATATTTGTTGTGCCGCAGCAGAGACAGACTTGGGTTTATTAGTGACAGGGAAGCTGGACAACAGTCCCGATTACCGAGAAAATACCTCAGAAGCATGCAGTGAACTACATTCAGTGCACGGGAAACTGGGTGCACTCACCCCGGAGCTCTTTCCGAAACCATAAGAGTCCTGCATACGACCATTCTTGAGGGTCAGCAACGTCTTCACTCCACCACCCATAAGAAGAGGCACACACCTGTAGAAAGTTTAGATGTGAGGCACAGTGGGCATTGTAGAGGCGCACCTAAACCAAACGAGGATTGACTTAAAGACCCAGATCTAAACTGTATTGGGTTGCTGAGGGTAACGAGGTGCACAAAATACCATGCAAACGAAGTTACCTAAACGGAGGAATACTAACGAGTGGCCACCATGACCATCCTTGCCGAAAACCAGAGAGAGTTGCCCACCAAAGCTCAAAAACTCATGTGCATTCATAATCCTTCTCCCTTTGAGTCTGTGGGCACTGGAATGCGTTGCCAGCAGAGGTATTCTCCACCCCATCTGTCGCTAATTTCGAGAGAAGGCTAGATGGTTACGCAGAGACCCTTGGTTACACTCATCCAGTTGGACTAAAAACTAGACTGAAGAAATCAGCTGGTGTCACACCTTTTCAACACTGTTACCTTTACAATAATTCCCTCCCTACCCTAACCACCTAAGTCCTTTACATTCCTCTTAATCGCTTTGATTTAGCCTCAGTGACCTACGCTCTGCATATCTTTGCATCTGTCTCGTCTTGGGTGTACCTAGACTGCTCTATCATCTCACTTTTCTTTGTCTTTTACTCACACACATTTGTCTTCCTAGGTTATTTCTTTATTATTCCAGACTCCCTCTTACAAGCAGTCTGAACTAAGCCTGGAAACTTGACATCTGAAAAATTCCACTTCACCACAGAACCAAGCAAACTAACCAACACACAGTTACCTGTTGGCTATATAAGAGCTGTATCAAAAGAGTGGCAGTATCTACTGCACCGAGATTTGCAGAAGACCTGTGTTTGTTTTGCGTGATTTATAAGCAAAAGCGGAAAAGTCTATCGGTTCACATAAGCTCGTTATTCAGGTATTGGATATAGGATAGACTATGTTTTGTTTTAATCGATCAGTATATTTGTTTCTATGTCTACAACGAATTGGCCATGATTCGGGTTGAACATTTCCTTAAAGAAAACAAGAGGGTTCTCAACGAACTGTACTTTCTAGAATGTATTACAGTTGCCAGAAATTCAGACATTTCTATTTCAAGGCTTAGAAATGTCATTGGGAAAAGGTATCGAGAGCTGCTTGACAACTTTGAAGAATTATTCCCAAAGACAAATACTTCTATACACTTCTTATTTTGGGGCTTCCTGAGAGCTAAAATCGCAGCTATTTTTCTTGATTCAGAGGATTCATCTAAAGGTATGTGTACAGTCTATTTTTTATATACTGAAGCCCAGGAAGTTTTATTACCCTGTGTTAATTCAAGTGAAAGGTGTGGACTTATTGGTTCTCTGCTGCATAAAATAATTGAGGATGGTAACTTCATTAAATCTTTTACACCCATATACAGATTGTTTGAAAGTTGGCTGTTTAGCTCCCGAAGAGGTGGTCATTTTTAATTCTATAGCTGGTTTGTTGCAAACAATTTTCAATGTGCTTGCTGCAATTCATGTCAGATATGTCCAAAATAAACAATATGTGACATCTTTTGACGATCCGATGCGCTGGCTTTGTTGTGCTGAGAGAGTATACAGGCTTTATTCAAAACAAAATTCATTTAATACTGGACCAGAATTTTGGGATACATTACTATGTCATAAGTTGTATAAGGAGCCTGAGGTGAATGATTTCGAGGACCATAATGAACCTGGTTTATCGATACATCGTCTGATGTTTGAGCATGGATATACGACAACGATATTCATAACTGCGCAGGTTTGACCTTTTAGACTGATAATGATTTAGGATTCTCATAAAAATGATTTTTTTCTTTATATTATTTGCTTTAGAATTCGTTTTGCGTTAATGTGATTATATATTTACAGAGGGCAGTCTTCTTTTGAAAAAATTTGATTTGGATGTCTCATTAAAATCCGAGAAACAAATTTTATTTGGTCAAGCAATGCAGGTTATTGAGGCGATGGAGAACACTTGTAGCTTAGGAGGTTAATTTTGACAGATTTTCCTCTGAGCTAGATATTTAATCGTGAAACTTCCGAAAGAAATTTGTGTTACTGAAGTCGCCAAAAGACAGACTACCCTTTAATAGCCATTAGCAAGTCCTAATAAGGACTACTATGCAATAAAAAAAATTATAATTCACTTTATCCCAAACAATTTGTGGTACAATTTAAAATTCTCAGCTTAATATATTGCAGCAACAACAAAATATAAGTATGTACATACTCCTTTACAACATTTCAAGCTGTGTTATCATAAAAATCCAATTAAGGTAAAGGATATTAAACATGAAAAAAGTATACATTGTTAGTTGAATTATTCGAATGAGATTTTTAACTGTCACAAAGTTGATGTGTGATTTGTCTTCCAACACTTATTTCCTCACTAAATATGCCTACCAAATAACTCACACTAGAATTCTTATACTTAGATTTACGAGCACACACTCAGTCTTATGTAGTTTCTCCCTGTCCTCTCTGAGGAGATATATGGACAGACCTGTGAATGAAGTGCATGCTCAATGTCAGTTAAAATTTCTGCAGCTGGTGGCTTGCAGGAATTTATATGTCGATCAACTACAGTGTTAATCAGTCGAGCCAAAGACACACCATTCACCCTACTGACGGCCTTCAAAGCCCCAAGCAGTATAACATAGTCATTTTTTAGAAGACCAGGAAAGATCATTGAGGAAGAATATAGAAGAATAGGTAAAATGCAAGAATGAATAGATTTTAAAAGAAACAGTCGAGTTGTTGTGAGAGAACCTCAGTTTCTTCATGTAATAAGTTAAAAGAATGATTTTTTAACAAGTCAACCAAATATGGGACGACCAACAAAAAGGTCAGAAGTAAAATGCAACCCAAGATAGTTCACACTCAATTTACTTTCTGCAGAAATACCATCGATCCGACAGGTATCATGAGATTTAAGCAACTCACATAAGTCTTGTTTACACCTGAGGCTAAAATGAAGAGTCTGACATTTAGAAGAGTTCAGTTTGAGACCATTTGAGAGAGACCATTTACCAACTTCAGACAAGAATTCATTTAATTTCGAGCAATCCAAAGAAGAGTTTACTGGAATAGAAATCGTCAGGTCGTCAGCATACTTGATAAAATTAGTTTCAACAGAATAAGGTAAATCGTGCAAAAAAAGAAAAACAGAAAAGGAGAAAGTACAGCACCTTGAGGCACACCAGCTTCAGTAAGCAATGAAGTGGAGGGCATTCCTTTATGAATAGTGTACTGTTTTCTTTCAAAAAAGTAAGAATGCAGTCATTTTGTAACCCATGGATCAGTGTGAGCTATGGCAAGCTTATTTAACAAAAGTGGTCTAGTAACAGAGTCAAAGGCTGATGAGTAATCCAAAAAGGCACAACGGACATACTTAACACCTTTGTCGAGACTAGAAACAATATTATGATGCAAGACAGTAGCTGCATCTAAAGTACTCCTCCGGTGTTTGTAAGCAAACTGTTTTGGATCTCTGAAGGCCATCAATGAAGGCTCAATCACAAGCGGAAGTAATTTCTCCATTGTCTTCAGAAAAGGGGAAGTTATAGCGATGGGTCGAAAAGTAACATCTGATCGAGAAGATGGCTTAGGCACAGGTACAATTTTTATCTGCTTCCAAGCAGTGGGTATTATGTTTTTAGAGAAGGATACATTGAAGATATCTGTAGGTGGATGACATAAAATATCTGCACATTTTCTAAATATGATGCTAGAAACACCATCAGGACCTAAGCTTTGGGAGGGATTCAGAAACTTTAGACATTTAAATACATCATTTGTATTGAAACCTGGAAAGCAGCTATCCACTTGATTTTGGACATTAGAAAGGGTGAAATTAGCTTGCCGACGTATAAATGACTTGTTTAACGTGGAGACATCCGAACGAGTTTGTGTTGTCATCTGTTTTTACCAGTAAGCTCTTTCAATAATTTCCATATATTGGAAGAGTTCTTACACGATAAGAACTTTTGGTTGTATGTAGTATTCAGACGTTGTATTTCAGACTTAATTAGGCAGTTAAGCCTTTTAACGCCAGGGTGATCTCTCACCCTGTACAACCTTTCCTTTTCTCTCCGAAGCCTCTTGAGATGAGGAGAGGAAAGTCTGTCAAATCTCATGTAAATTGTTTCAGTAGGGCAGCAGATATCGAGACAGAATCTGGGATAGCTTGCGATATTTGTAATAGTGTTGTCTAAAACTTCATCAGCAAATATATCCCAGTCCGTTTCTATAATCATGCTTCTCAAGCGTAATATATTTTCTTGTGAATAGCATCTGTGATGAATTTTCCTTGAAAGGTATCCGAAAGCTTTCTTGTATAATTTGCCGTACACTTTAGGCAGAACAAGAACAATACAGTGGTCGGAATTGAGCAGTGGAGCCCGTTTACGGGCTTCATATATGCCAGGTTAATTTGTAAATGCAAAGTCTGAGGTGTTGTCAAGACGAGTGGAAAAGTTAACCATATTTTCATGACCCAATGATAATAGGAAACTGTAGTCACATGAGTTAAAATGGGCACAGACAATAGACAAGGAGTTTCCCAGAACCGGAGCAGCAAATTCAATGAATTTATCAGCAAAAGTTGAGAGATCTGAGAAAGTGCGGTCAGGCGTGACATACATGTTTTTGATATATATGTATTTGTATTTGCTCAGATGTTTGGGATGACATTTAATGGTAGTGCACTCAATATTTGCGTTAGAGAAGCATAAGCATACATAGTTGGAGGAGGACCAGTTAGTACTAATAAATGTTGCTACACCACCACCACCACATTTCTTCTTCGAAAAGCTTTGATCTTGTCGAAATAATTTGAAACCATCTAAGCAGACTAAATCATCATGCAGGTTAGCTAAGTTCATAAATTAACAGCATCTACAATATATATATATATATATATATATATATATATATATATCAGCGTTCATAACAGGTCGTTGTTCTCCTGCTTTTCATTTAATGGCTTTAGGTGTTGTTTGTGCACTCAAGGATTTCCTTCACTATTGATCGGGTTCATTTAAGACCGGCTGTTGAACTTTAGTTACTTGATACCTTGATACAGCTTTCAAAGTTTGAATGAACGTTAGTTATATGACTTCCACATAAATCAATGCATCTACATAAATCCGGTTGAGAACTTAGTGTACTACAACATAGTTCTTGGTTCATTACATACAAGTTTACAAGATGATATCTTGCTTTCATTTAAAGTTTAGGAGATTTAGCTTCATGGAGCAGTTTCAGTTATGCACTGTGCAAGTGAATACCATGTTCTAAAGTGTTTTAGAGGTCGTTTCTTGAACTTGATATTCATAGGAAAATAAAAGAATGGATGAACAGATTTCAAACACATTTTTTCGTAGAAGAAAAAATTCGCAACCTAACTTCTTCCCAATCTTAAAACTTATTAATATTGATTCCGTTAACTTTTCATCCATTTGCTTGCATAGAAAAATAAATATTACATTTGTTGTATTCATTTCTAATGTTTTAAGATAGAGAAACTTTTAATCTATCTAGAGACGACAAATCTACCAAGTCCTTTTTGCCACCATAAGCATCACCTAATAATTGACTGTGTTTCAACACCTAGTGTTTTGTTTATTCTGATGGCATGCGTTTACCGTAGCTTAAAGAAAGGCAGTTTCCATAACAAACTTATCATAGCTTCATCCTCTTCATCCGTGTGCAGTATTATACATCAAAATCTCGGTACTTGTATTTCATTTTCATTAACTCAATTAAAACCAGATCCAAATGCATACTTATTAAGTTGGGGGGGGGGGGGGGTTAGCTCAGTAAGCTTTCCATATTTTTAGAATAAGAAATAGTAATTAAGCATCATATTATGTAAACTCTCGGATTTGTTAAATAAGACAATAAATGAGATGATTTTCTTAGCTTGGGGTTAACTGAATAGGTGTTTGAGCCACTTTATTATAACTATCTTCCTTTAAAAGTTTCTTATAGAAAAGTTATCATCTTGTATTTACTTTACAACACTAGATCATGTGACACTTTAAAGCATATAGTATTTCTGAAAGTAGTTTGAGTGATGAGAATAAACGATATATAAGGTCAGGTAGCATGTGTAAACATCACGATTTGACAAATCAAAAGTTTTAAAGTGTATGACATGGCTGTTAAGTTGAACCAACTCTATTAAATATTAGTGCATGGTTCTGATAAGTCGTTTAAGAGTAGAAAGGTTTGAATTATTGAAAATAGTTTGGCTTATCTAAATTTTAGGTGGTTGCTTTGCTGCCAATGTCATTCATCACCTGTATGACTGTAAAAATTGTAGATTTGAACTTGCATTCATTATAAGAAGTAAGCCAAATGATTTTGTATGGTGTTCTTTGGTCCTATGTAAATAAATTAATCGAATAATTTTGTTAAACTTTTTATTCATATCATAAAGTTTATGTAATTCTTCAGTGTTATCATTAATTTTTTTTCAAATGTTTTGAAAATAAGAATTTATATTCGACAGCATTAGTTTGGCTTTGCGAAACTTCAATGTGTTAAATATCTCATTCCTAAGCTAACATCGGCGTCAGGAAGAAAGGCTTTACATATATATATGTATTACGTATCTGACTATGCAATTTGCTGGAAGTTGAAAGTGGTATATAATAACGTCCTAATTTCATGCCGAAGCATCTGCTCTTTCAGGCATACGAAAATATCTACAAGTGATTAGTACATTATATGAAGGTGTTAAATAAGCTTTAATAATAAGCAGTTTTAGAATCTCTTTACACCTTCCTATATGTATGATAAATTTCAAAGTAATAAAGTGTTTTGATCTTTTAGGTGCATCAGTTAGCTGGAGAACAGAGTCTATCAGCTGACTACTGCCAACTTACATTGTTACGTCAACTTATTTTTGCTAAACCTTTTGAGAAAGCATTGAACAATGCTTCATTTATTCGATATAATAAAAGAAATCGTATTAAATCAACTGACAGATTTCAAGATTTTACAAAAGACAGAGTATTAAAACAAAGTTTGAAGACAGTTTGTCCATTACCATTACTTTATGAATTTAATTCAATTGAATGGGCTAAAATGCTATTAGTCTGAGTGATTATTTCTCATCAATTGAAGGACCGAATAACGGCTATTATAAAACATTTGAATGTCTATTATCTGCATTATAGTAAGAAAATTACTTTTTTCTTAAAAATTTCGTTGACAGATTTTTCTATACAATTAGAATACTATGCAGTCTGGTTTTTTCTGTATAGTGTTTAATTTTTTTTTCATGTGAAGTATAGAATATAATTCTTAAACCTTAGCTCAAAGCTGTGTTTACAAAAGTCAAAGGGTAAGTGGACTTCAAGAATGCCTACAATTTGAACTTTAAACATGATTCATGTACATATTTTTTAGTTTTCGTTATAAACATTTGAAAAGCTACCCATGGGTTGATATCAGTCATAAAACATTTGAATATATGAAATTATTCCAAGAAAGATAAATTGAACTGAATAATACTCATATCTAATTGGGATTTAGAGTACCACTCAATGAAATCTGACATGAATTATACTGCCTTCTTAATAAAGCCTAATACATAATATATTGGGAAGGGAATTACTATAGCATATCCATGAAGAAGCCTGGGAAAGGTTTCTAGTACTTTGTAGATATGATGGATATTCGACTGTTCCTTGGATTGTTCTAAATTAAATGAATTCCTGTCTGAAGTTAGTAAATGGTCTCTCTCAAATGGTCTCAAACTGAACTCTTCTAAATGTCAGACTCTTCATTTTAGCCTCAGGTGTAAACAAGACTTATGTGAGTTGCTTAAATCTCATGATACCTGTCGGATCGATGGTATTTCTGCAGAAAGTAAATTGAGTGTGAACTATCTTGGGTTGCATTTTACTTCTGACCTTTTTGTTGGTCGTCCCATATTTGGTTGACTTGTTAAAAAATCATTCTTTTAACTTATTACATGAAGAAACTGAGGTTCTCTCACAACAACTCGACTGTTTCTTTTAAAATCTATTCATTCTTGCATTTTACCTATTCTTCTATATTCTTCCTCAATGATCTTTCCTGGTCTTCTAAAAAATGACTATGTTATACTGCTTGGGGCTTTGAAGGCCGTCAGTAGGGTGAATGGTGTGTCTTTGGCTCGACTGATTAACACTGTAGTTGATCGACATATAAATTCCTGCAAGCCACCAGCTGCAGAAATTTTAACTGACATTGAGCATGCACTTCATTCACAGGTCTGTCCATATATCTCCTCAGAGAGGACAGGGAGAAACTACATAAGACTGAGTGTGTGCTCGTAAATCTAAGTATAAGAATTCTAGTGTGAGTTATTTGGTAGGCATATTTAGTGAGGAAATAAGTGTTGGAAGACAAATCACACATCAACTTTGTGACAGTTAAAAATCCCATTCGAATAATTCAACTGACAATGTAAACGTTTTACATGTTTAATATTCTTCACATTACTTGGATTTTTATGATAACACAGCTTGAAATGTTGTAAAGGAGTATGTACATACCTATATTTTGTTGATGTTTCAATATATCATGAAGTGAAGACAGAAGTAAAACAGGGCTGTCTACTAACACCCACGATATTCCTGATTGTGGTCGACTGGATCATGCAACAAACAGTGAGGAGCGAGAGGAGAGGGGTATGCTGGACAGATGAAAACACCCGAGAAGAAGATTTGGATTTCGCCAACGATGACTCGTGTCTAATGTCTTCTAGCACAAACTTGAAGATCTACAAGTTGATAGAAGAGACGAAGCAGCGAAAACTGGACTTCAAGTGAACGTAGAGAAGACAGAGGTGATGAAGATACCCAACCAACAAACTCCAATCACCGTCAATGGGAGAAACTTAAAGGAAGTAGACTGTTTCACCTATCTAGGTAGCAACGTTTCAACTACTGGCGACACAGGCGCAGATGAGGACGTCAAAGCCAGTCAGGATCGGAAAGACAACAAGACAGGTGTTCATTAACCTGAAACCAGTGTGGAGATCTTCTGCACTCCACTCAGTATAAAGCGTGAACAACATCCGAATTTTGAACACTAACGTGAAGTCGAGTTAGTGCTCGTGTATGGTTGAGAGACTTGGAGTGTTACGAAGAGCATTTCCAACAAAGTACAGACATTCATGAACAACTGCGTACACTGGCTGGTTAGTGAAGCTGAGATGGGCAGGATGATAAGAATAAGCAAGACGGAAGTCTGGTTGGCTGGCTGGCTGGCTGGCTGGCTGGCTGGCTGGCTGGCTGGCTGGCTGGCTGGCTGGCTGGCTGGCTGGCTGGCTGGCTGGCTGGCTGGCTGGCTGGCTGGCTGGCTGGCTGGCTGGCTGGCTGGTTGGTGACGAAGCAACGAGGCAAGAAGCTATCGCTGAACAAATATGCAGTGTAAGGAAGTGAAGATGGATTGGATTGGGCATACACTGAGAAGATCGACTGGGGACATCACGCATCAGGCCAGGCCTGGCCATCGAGTGGAACCCAGATGGGAATCGACGAGTTGGTTGTCCGAGGCCAGGGTGAGATGGAGTAGATGGTGTGAGGAAGAAATGAGAGATTGTGGGGGGGGGGTTGTGGATCCAGGTTGAAAATATTTCAGAGATGAGAGTGTAATGGAGACGTGGTACTGAAGCCCTATGTTTAACTGGGAACCCAAGGGACAAGTAATCATAGTAATAATAGTAATAATAACACAATATATCATGCTGAGAGTTACAAACGGTACCATAAATTGTTTGGAATAAAGTGAATTATTATTATCAATATTATTATAATTATTTATTTGCAGGGAAACTAACTTTTAGAGGACTGAGTGCATTTTGATAACTCATAAGTCAACAAAGCTTGAGAAGATATAAATGTTTAGTTTTTTAATTACTAAACCATAATTCTTGCTTTCTAATCGTTGACCCACAGCAGTTTCAACCTATAAGTAATAGTATCATCAAGATCCTTGTTACCATCTAAAGTTGAAAGGTTAGATAGCATGGTAATTCTAATAAGTTTACTCGGATATATATGATGTCATTATTTTTTCGTTGAAATTTTCCTTACGTTTATTTTTGAAATAACCAGTGATAAATTGTATGAATCAACACACTATCTTTCGTTTCCAGTATAATTGAAGAGGCTAAAAGTACATGTACTCGAAAGGAGGATAAAAATGTGTCCGATCAACTAAGTAATATTTTGGCAAATCTTTTTCGTGATCTAGTACGTATTGGCCTTGATTTATTGGAGAAAGGAGCAAATATATTTCAGAATTTAAGCAATAAAGAAAATGTCAATGATGAAATTCAATTCAACAGACTTACTAAACCAAAAGATGGTAAGTTGAATATGACCAATACATTATCTGTTTTTACATGTCTTTACTCGCAGTAATTCCAATGTATCCTATTAACTTTTACCAATACTTTACTCACCATCCTCGAGGTGAGCTGGCCAAATAAAACATATATTTCATACCATGGGAACTAACTCAAGTGTATTAATCTAAACAACTTACTTGAATTGTTTAGTTTATTTAATCACAACCAGTTAAATTATCTCCTTTGTTTTACCTAGTTGACTGATAGCAAGCAAGTATTCATCTTACCTTGGTTACATAGATTTTATCATTGTTATCATCATTATTTGTCCCTTGGGTTCCCAGTTAAACATAAGGCTTCAGTACCACGTCTCCATTACACTCTCATCTCTGAAATATTTTCAACCTGGATCCACAACCCCCCCCCCCCCACAATCTCTCATTTCTTCCTCACACCATCTACTCCATCTCACCCTGGCCTCGGACAACCAACTCGTCGATTCCCATCTGGGTTCCACTCGATGGCCAGGCCTGGCCTGATGCGTGATGTCCCCAGTCGATCTTCTCAGTGTATGCCCAATCCAATCCATCTTCACTTCCTTACACTGCATATTTGTTCAGCGATAGCTTCTTGCCTCGTTGCTTCGTCACCAACCAGCCAGCCAGCCAGCCAGCCAGCCAGCCAGCCAGCCAGCCAGCCAGCCAGCCAGCCAGCCAGCCAGCCAGCCAGCCAGCCAGCCAGCCAGCCAGCCAGCCAGCCAGCCAGCCAGCCAGCCAGCCAGCCAGCCAGCCAGCCAGCCAACCAGACTTCCGTCTTGCTTATTCTTATCATCCTGCCCATCTCAGCTTCACTAACCAGCCAGTGTACGCAGTTGTTCATGAATGTCTGTACTTTGTTGGAAATGCTCTTCGTAACACTCCAAGTCTCTCAACCATACACGAGCACTAACTCGACTTCACGTTAGTGTTCAAAATTCGGATGTTGTTCACGCTTTATACTGAGTGGAGTGCAGAAGATCTCCACACTGGTTTCAGGTTAATGAACACCTGTCTTGTTGTCTTTCCGATCCTGACTGGCTTTGACGTCCTCATCTGCGCCTGTGTCGCCAGTAGTTGAAACGTTGCTACCTAGATAGGTGAAACAGTCTACTTCCTTTAAGTTTTTCCCGTTGATGGTGATTGGAGTTTGTTGGTTGGGTATCTTCATCACCTCTGTCTTCTCTACGTTCACTTGAAGTCCAGTTTTCGCTGCTTCGTCTCTTCTATCAACTTGTAGATCTTCAAGTTTGTGCTAGAAGACATTAGACACGAGTCATCGTTGGCGAAATCCAAATCTTCTTCTCGGGTGTTTTCATCTGTCCAGCATACCCCTCTCCTCTCGCTCCTCACTGTTTGTTGCATGATCCAGTCGACCACAATCAGGAATATCGTGGGTGTTAGTAGACAGCCTTGTCTTACTCTTTCCTGTCTTCACTTCGACGGCATCAGTGAGCTTCCCATTGTGAATTACTTGGCATATGGCGTCTTAATATATTTGTTGAATGAGATTGATAAAGGTTTGTGGTATTCCGTAGTGTTGAAGCAGATGCTTGGCAAACTACTTGTCGGTAGACGCTGTCGAATGTTTTTTCAAAGTCGATGAAGTTGAAGTAGAGAGGGTTATATATATTTAAGAAGTCAGAATGTTTATGTCAAGTTAACGACTTCATAGTTCACTTGATATAGACGTTATGAAACATAGAATTTTTATCATTTGCTTTCCACGTATACAACTTGTTCTGGAAGATTTTTTTATGATATTGCTTACGCTTGGTCACTGTAATATTTAAAGGTAGTTCACAAAATACGGAGTAATTATGAACAGATCCTATTTTATGCATAAGTAATATCAATGGTATTTGACTGTAATGAATTGGCACAAACCCATAGGCCTAGGTTCCCTGCATGTTGGCACTTATCACCAAGGCATTCCTACAACCCCTGTGGAAATGATGACCACTTTGGTACTCATATCCACATAGCGTAGCATCTCTGAATGAAGCACTTAGTGACACTGGTTTAAATGTCAGACGGGATGATTGCCAATAAACATGAAACCTAAGTACAGTGCTTTTTGTTGGTTGCCTTCAACTACCTAGCACTAATGTGCGCCGTGATACTGAGTGAATTCATTGCAAAATGATCGGTAGAATTCGATCAGCTATCAGGACTATAAACACATGAAATTGATTATTTTCCAGTGACTAACCAATGTAATGGCAGTATATTCTATCTCCTTTAGTGATTTAGTAAGCTATAGCTAGGTACATCGCAGAAAGGAAAATCAAACTTGAGCTTACATGAATGTAAAAAACAAAATAGATGACGTGAATGTTGTACAGTTGAAAATAAATAAATAGCCGTTGCAAAAGATACTACGCTGAATATATTTCTTCCATTACAGTTTCTGTCAATTTCTTTCAACTGACTGATGCACTTGACTAATAGATATCAGTATTAAACTCGGAATAAAAAACCAAGGAAAGCCAAATGGCAGTTTATTGTATTATGAAGTGGTATAGATTCAGCATTCATGAAAGGGTTCAGTTATTAGCGAAAATAGAGGTATCCAAAAGAAACCTTGCAGTAAATTATTTCAGAACGAAAATCATACAAAATTCTGCCTATTCTGTGAAATAATATTTAAGATTACAACTGAAATAAACTAGGAATGAAGATAGGATAATCAGTTGCATTTTTACCCACTACTTGGGTATTGTAGCCATCTGTGGCTGGCTGAAGGTTGAAACATTTCCTTCCCAGACCAGTAAAAAGGCTTCAAATCTTACTAATATTTTATCCACCCTTTCAATGCTTGTTATACATGGAGCATAAGACAAACGGATAAAATCAACGCAGAACCTCTCACATGAATGAACTGGTTCAAATTGCCATACTTCACAGAAATACACAAAGAACAGGTGGATAGAAAAGGAATGATATAAATGTAGATAAAGTTGTGTAAGAGAATGAACAATTTGAAGGTAAAGGTAAGTGCCAATATTAAAGCTTCAGAAGACATCAAGCAGTGAACACATTTGCGCTTTTGTGATCGATTTTTAGCCATGTCACCAAGACTCCTCAATCACCCAGTCCTATCATCTCGGGGATCTCAACAAGATAACCTACATCTCTCCACTCAGTGGAGTGAGAGGTTGGAAGTGTAATTGGTTTAATATTAGTGTCAAGAGGTGAAGGCAAATGAGGAGCCAGAGTTGAGGAGGATAAGTTATGTTTGATAGGGTTTATTGTATTACTGGAAGTGTATGAGTGGTTGGTACTTCACTACTATCCACACCGTGGAAGGTTATTTCTTCTTAAGGTACCGGAAAAAGAAAAAAGATTTGTAACTACATAGCGTATGGGACATATGCTTTTATAAATTCATCTGCTTCAGTAGGGTAATATATTTTAGTCATACTCAGTATATCTTTCTATGCATATCTTCATTCATATACTAGCTTAAAGAAAGAACAGTATCTTGTAGCTTGATTTTAATGAAATTTGATTCATTATGATCATCTAATGAGTTAAGGAATCAACTGTAGTGTCATCTACTAAGGTCATAAAAGCCTTGTGACAGGTGTATGCAGAAGCTAATGTGATTACTGTTTTAGAGTCGGAATTCTGCATCTTGAAAAAACGTTTCAACTCACTTGATATAACCTTTAAGAAAATCTAGCCGTTAAAATGTTTGCTTGTTTTTTTTCACTCCTTTTCTAACAAATCTTACTTATCAACTGTGTTTCTTATTGTTATACATTCCATCCATCAATTTGTGTAACCGTATTACATTATTCAAATTCAGAATTTAACATTGCTTCGGTCTTGAAAAATCTTGTTATTGTTGTAATCTTTTAACATTACTTCGTTGCTTTTCTACGGTCAAAATATTCCGCCTTTTCAACTGTTATACTATAACCCTATTATTATCATCACTACCTTGAGTTTTCTTAACCAGTGGGTCTTAGCTTCAAACCCTTTACCAATTACCAATGTCTGGAAAGCCAGGTAACACATCACTAATAGATGTGGTTAATTACCTTCTTTATGATCATGTATATAGTTGCTGAGTCGATTTCAACTTTTTCCATCTGTTTTCCATAATCATATGAGTGGAATTTATATTATTTTTCGTTTTTGTGAAGAGAAACTAAGGTTTATTATAGAATGCAGTAGAAATCGATATCTAGTAGAAAAGGGGAATCACAGCGTGTAGTCATTATTAGATAAAGCTGAAAATGTGACTTTTCGCTCAACAGTCATTAGTTAGATAAGTCTGGTTATTGAATTATATGGGTTCAGTTTGAAATCATTAAGATTTTCTGTATGGTATCAAACTTACAAAATGACATGACATTTGAAGAATAAATTTTTGAATAAAAAATGAGGGACAAGATTTTTAACCAGAGGAAAAAATATTTCTTTTCCACAACTTCATAATTGAGCTGTACAGTTGTATTTTTAATCGGTAAAATGTTACATAAATACGACTGTACAGTTTGATAGTTAAGTCAATAAAACCAAATATTTCCTAGCTGATAAAAATTTTGTTCTTCTTATTCATGAATAAATGGGTTTATTTCGTAGGAAAACATTTTTTAGTATTATTGCTTGTATTACACCGTCGTCGATTAGACTGAATTGATCAGTCTCTGTTGGCATATGGGCTCTTGTACGGAAGCCTCGATATTGCCTGTGTTTTTTTAATTATGCATAGTAATTATGTGCAGTCTGATTGTGGGCGACTGGATCATGCAACACACAGTGAGGAGCGAGAAGAGAGGGGTACGCTGGACAGATGAAAACACCCGAGAAGAAGATTTGGATTTCGCCAACGATGACTCGTGTCTAATGTCTTCTAGCACAAACTTGAAGATCTACACGCGAAAACTAACAAGTTGATGGAAGAGACGAAGCAGCGAAAACTGGACTTCAAGTGAAAGTAGAGAAGATAGAGGTGATGAAGATACCCAAAGAACATGAAAACAACAACATCAACAACAAGCACCAATCACCATCAATGGGAGAAACTTAAAGGAAGTAGACTCTTTCACCTATCTAGGTAGCACTGTTTCAATTAGAGTTGGCGGCACAGGCATAGATGAGAATGTCAAAGCCAGTCAGGATCGGAAAGACAACAAGACAGGCATTCATTAACCTGAAACCAGTGTGGAGATCTTCTGCACTCCACTCAGTATAAAGCGTGAACAACATCCGAATTTTGAACACTAACGTGAAGTCGAGTTAGTGCTCGTGTGTGGTTGAGAGACTTGGAGTGTTACGAAGAGCACTTCCAACAAAGTACAGACATTCATGAACAACTGCGTACACTGGCTGGTTAGTGAAGCTGAGATGGGCAGGATGATAAGAATAAGGAAGAAGGAAGTCTGGTTGGCTGGCTGGCTGGCTGGCTGGTTGGTGACGAAGCAACGAGGCAAGAAGCTATCGCTGAACGAATATGCAGTGTAAGGAAGTGGAGGTGAATTGGATTGGATTGGATTGGGCATACAGTGAGATGGCCGACTGGGGACATCACGCATCAGGCCATGCCTAGCCATCGAGTGGAAGCCAGATGGGAATCGACGAGTTGGTTGTCCGAGGCCAGGGTGAGATGGAGTAGATGGTGTGAGGAAGAAATGATAGGTTGTGGGGGGTTGTGGATCCAGGTTGAAAATATTTCAGAGATGAGAGTGTAATGGAGACGTTTTACTGAAGCCCTATATTCAACTCGGAACCCAGGGGACAAGTAATGATAATGATATAATGATGGGCAGTGGCTAGCAATGGAATCTAGGATGTGTATTTCGTCCAATTTGGGACTTGTCAACTGGATATATTTACCTCCCAGTGGGTGATGTTGTTCCCATCAAGACTCGGACTCGGGAGCGATCGCTTCAAACGCGAGAGTGTTATCCACTACACCTTCGAGCCACAATGGCCACTTCCTGTGCGACGGTATAGTTTCAGTGTTATTGCTTGTATTACACAGTCGTTGACTGGACTGAACTGATAAGTCTCTGTTGGCATATGGGATCTTGTGCGGATACCTCGATATTGCCTATGTTTCAGTTATGTCTGGTAATGATGGGCAGTGGAATCCAGGATGCACTGCTCGCCACTGCTCATCATTACGATAAATAAATTTTTTGTTTTCAGTCTTACTTTAGGAAAATAACAATTGTAAAATTTATGTGTACTGAATGTTTTTAGATAATAAATTTGGGTCAATGTTTAATTTGGATCTAAGACCAATAATGGCTCGAATATTGGAGAGTGATGTCAATAGGATGACCCCAACAAATCAGGAGTCTAGTACGTATAACGAAATAAATTCAAGCACAACTCTGGAAATTGACAATTTAGTAAATAGTTTAGTTATACCACCTACAAACTATAAAATGGCATCTAGAATATTTCGTTTGATACTGCATTGTATAATGAAGGCTGAATTCTACTATACACTACAAGATCATTGTACTGATGCAGTCACTTTAATTCAAAATCGAAGTAAAGCTTATCGCTTAATGGCCATATTTGAAAATAATATCCACCGACAGGTAAGTATTACAATCACTTTTGTATTGGTATGTATAAAATAAGTTATACCTTAAGGTTTTTTCATGTTAATCGATGACTATTTAAAATCGTTTCAAAGTTGAATTTTTTTGTATAGATGAAAGAATAATCATCTTTATCTGTTATTCAAATCGATGTCTGCAGAACAGGAATTGAAACTAAAATGATGCTGATAATTTATTTTGATGATTTGAGGATCATTTTTAAGATGGTTTTCAACAAGATATAAGGTGAATTTTGAGGCAGTTGTGGAGATTTGGCAACATTTCAACTTGTTATTCATTGTAGGCTGACATCAGCTGAAGGAAAAAAAACCCTGAGAGCACTGGATAGCTGTTTCATCTTAGTATGGCACTTTTCAGAAGTCGTGACCGGTGGGGTCAAGCCTGATGGTCGTGAGGACAGTTACTCAACGATGACATTGGGTGTCGGTTGTGCTATATCGTGGCAAAGAGAAGTTGGGAATATGAAGCATTAGATTCTGACCCAGTGGCTCAATGACAACGCGCTGGTTGCAGAACCTGAAGGTCGCGGGTTCGATCCTTGATGGTGCGGGGTCGTGGGTGCGCACTGCTGAGGAGTCCCACACTAGGACGAAACAGCTGTCTAGTGCTTCCAGGTTTCCTTTGTCCCTCCAACTGGTGTCAGTCTACGATGAATAACAACTTGAAAGATATAAGGTGATTTGGAAGACCTTTTCGAAATGAATAACGATAAAATACTTTTTATAGTTTATGATTCTTTTAAATTACAAATGGTCCAGACCTTCTGTAGTAGAGTCTGGGAATGTCATGTGACTTAGCATTCTTCTATTTAGCTATCAATAAGAAATAAAATAGTTGTCGTCACCCGAATTTACCTATTTTTTCACTGTATCGTAGTGATCCATTGTCAACTGTAAGTAAGCTGTTCAGCTGAATTTCAAGTTAAAAGAGTGTTTGAATTTATTTATACTAGTATGTGCACATGCTAAGTGCAAATTATTTTTAGAAGTTCGACAGCAGCCTGTACCTGCGCTCACCCTCTGTGTTAAACCGTTGGAAGTAGTTGAAAAGTTCGTGTATCTGAGAAGTTATGTAAGTGGTGGCTGAGGTGTTGGTTATGAAATTTGTAACCGTATATTGAAAGTCAGAGTGGCATACGCCAATCTCAGCCACTTTTGGTACCATCGTGACGTTAGTCTGTTCGTAAGAGGTTGAGTTTACAATGCTTCAATGTGAGTAGTTCTGCTCTACTCCAATGAAACCTATCCTCTCCGAGCTGGGGATGTGTGATGATTCTATGTGTTCGATGATCGTTGTCTCCGTAGGATTACTGGTATCCAGTGGTAACATTATGTAAATAATTCTGAGGGACGACAGCGTATGTTTGGGCATGAAGGAGATCTTCATTCAATAAATGAAGTCATTTGGAAACACTGGCTTCTCTGACTGGGACATGTGTTGCGCATGTTATTCCAATGGCTTGCATACCGTTCAATGTTTACTAGCCCTTGAATTGGATGAAAGACGTGGAGGGGTGACCAGTGTATGACGTGGCGCTGTGCGATGAAGGATAGTTGTGTCGGGTAAGCATCTGTTGGTGCATCATGACTCTCTGAGTGGCGTCCAAGAGGTCATGTGACTGACTGGCTTGAGACGTTATCAGATATAGCTCAGAATGGAGGCCAGTGGTGGTTGTGCTGTAGCTTCCTCCTATTTACTTCCGGTGAAAGGTAGTGAATGTACTTTACTGAACTGCCCTTCTAATGATGCTTTTCTTCTTGTTTTTCCTTCTTCCTTATCGACTTCCCATCGTTTATGTCTTTACAGTATTGTTATACTATTTTGTGTGGTACACTTCTTGATCCCGTTGACGGACCATATTTGTGTTCTTATAATAATAATACATGTAAAAAGAAGATGTTTCTCCCATTTACATTATGCTCATACATCTACTTATTTTTCCTTCCATTAGAATTAAGATGAACTACAAGTGACTGTAGTTTTATGGTGCTTATATTCTACCAGGACTGCGTTTAGGTTAAAACAAAACAGTCTCAACAGACTGTTTTCAGTGGAGTCTTAATTTATCATGCTTTAGAGTTATCCGTTAGCAGTAGTCAATTTAGAGTTATTCATAAACTGACTTTTTGTTTGTTTCAAAAGGAATACAATACTTCTGTTCAAAGATTTATGAATTGACAGTTAGTATTCATCATAGACTGAAATAAGTTGAAGCACCATCGAAAACCTGGAAACCATGAACGCCTGTTTTGTCCTAGTGTGGAGCTTGTCAGCAATGTACACCCACAACTGCACTAGTTTATGATGTTTACTACCTTGAAACCAATCTTCTCTACAATTCTGCGATCTAAATTGCTTTCTTGTGCTCATTTGTTACATTTTTCGAGGTGAGTTTTACGAAGTTCCAAAGAGAAGCTGTAACCTGTGGTGTTACTCAAGACGTGTATGAAGACAAATACTCGCCGACTGCATTAAATGGTGGTCACACTATATGGTGAATTGAAAGACGCAACAAAATGTAGACCATTGAACTCAGAACCAATGACTGAATGGTTAACACCCCCATAATAAAACCTGATGGTCTCGGGTTCTGTTGCTGGCAGTGTCGTGGGTGTGCACTAATGAGGAATCCCATAGTAGGCTGAAATTCCTGTCCAATTCTCTTAGGTTCCTAATGGTTCTCCAACTGATATTGTTTTGCCGTGAATACTACCTCAAAGTACAATAACCTTGAATGTAATTATAAATGAAATATATTTCTAATGTAATGAAATCATAAAGTCAGTAAATTCGGTATTCTAGAAACAAAGCATATTGGCTGTTTTAACTTTATTCCTGAACATGCTTATTTCTACTTTTAAAGTGGTGAGAGTTTTAAATTCATAGTTTTCATCATTTCAACAGTCACCACAGTTTAAGGTTGAAAATGTATGACAGATATGTAATTCAAATATAATTTGGTTTATTCAGGATTTGCATTAATAAAGAAGTGGAATAATTCAGTAGCTCAAAGTTTTAATAGTTAGTTATGAATTCTTGAATAATGATAGGAATGAAATTGAACTTACTCTCAGCCTACTTTAATGTACGAGTCGAGTCTAAGCAATGTAATAGAATGTTATGATTATGGTCAATAAACTTTACATGAAATGTTATACAGTTAATGATACTGTATCACAGTGTTCTATATATACGAAATGAGAAAATTTAGTATGGAATCATTCGAGTTCACTGCGCTTAGGCTTTCATAAGTTCTCATTGGTAGTGAGTTGACTGCCTAACATTTCGCTTAATCCTATTTTGTAGCTGTGAAATATGATCACTAAAGGTGGCATAAATGAAGAAGCTCCAGGTTTTCGACGACACTTGCCTCTGTAACGGTGACCCTATTTAGTTAAACCACTGTAGTATTTATGCAGAGCTTAGGCACAAAGTCATAGGTAAAAATGTTAAATTTGTCAATGAATTTATTGGCCTTAGTCGATTCGTGTGACTGAGACATGTGTCATGCATGTCTAGTCATCAACTAAGCTGACTTAAAATATTAACTGAACTGGGATTAATTCGGAAAAATGTTGTCAAACTAAAACTTGGCATCAGGATATGAAGTCTCTAAATGTTTATCTGAACGATATTGTGTAGTGCAGACTTTTAGACAACTAAATCCTTTGCCTACACTTAATCTATTCATGAAGTCTACCAAGACGAAACATCTTTTCAGTCCTGCAAGGTTTTCAATGGCTCTTCAATGATTAATACTATTTTGAAAACAGTCAGTCCTCATAAACCTCATGACTCAGGTATATAAACTTTTATTTAAACTCCGAGGTAAATATATGTTGATCGACGATGAAAGTGTATCAATAAATTGCTTGCATTACACCTGAAAGATTGCTTTGACATATAGGAAAGTACTGTCACCTGTAAATTAATAGCCTCCTCATAGAAATACGGAATTTCCTTTCAAAGTCGTATACCGTATAGGGTCACTTTACAGACTTATTGAAAGAAAAATCATTCTTATTGGAATGATATACACAAAGCAAAAAGAATGAGATATTTTATTACTTACATTAAAAGTCTTTCTCCATTTGGAATTGATTCGTGAAGTGTGGAGGAAAGTCCTGGATAAAGCAAGAAAAACATTCAGTACTCCAATAATTTCAACTGAGTTTTCTAACTCCTACTGACTGGTACCTGAACCATCCCAATGTGATTGATTATACTTCAAGCTCAGTGATATTATGCACATTAGAGATAAAAAGCTGAGTAGGAAACTCACTCTTTTTATTCACTGAATATATTGGGATACCAATGTCAGCTAACAACAATTTGTTAAGCTATATTATTGGGATTCCACCAAAATTTAAATATCTCAGTCAGTCTATAGGTTAACTTTCACATTATTATTATTATTACTATTATTATTAGCATTGGCCTAATACATACATGTCCTTTCTAACATCATAAGAACGGTGTTTAAATAGAATCATGTTGCGTTTTTAGTTCTTATCACCTTGTATTTGCACCTATCTAAAATCATAAACTTAGTGAGCAGGAGGCAAGTTGATTGATGAATTTTTGAAATTTAGTCAACTGAGATGGCTTGGACATGTGCTGTGCGTGCCCAGCCACCGCCTACTTTGACGTGCCATATTAGGGGGAATTGGATTAGGATGGGGAAGGATTAAGGATGACCAGACCAAGACGTGACACCAGTCGATGAAGTCCCTGACTGTTGGCTTGAGCCATGTGTAGGGATGTAGACTGCCTGGTTGAGGTCCCTGTGACGAAAACAATCAGTAGTTAAGGACACTTGGTGACATGGCTGAAAATCGATCACAATTTTACAGATGTATTCATTCCTTGACATCTTCTATAGCTTGAATATTTACGCTGACATTTATCTTCAAATTGTGAACTCTCTCACACTAAACGAACAAAGGATTTAGTGGATAGTGGCTAGCAGTGAAATTCGGAATGCGGATTTCGTCCTATTTTGGACTTGTCAACTGGATGTACCTGCCTCCCAGTGGGTGATGTTGTTCCCGCCGAGATTTAGACTCAAGAGCGATCGCTTCAAACGCCAGAGCGTTATCCACTACACCATCGAGCCACGATGGCCACTTCTTGTGCGACGGGTATAGTTTCAGTGTTATTGCTTGTATTACACAGTTGTTGATTGGAGTGAATTGATCAGTCTCTGTTGGCATATGGGATCCTGTGCGGATACTTTGATATTGCCTGTGTTCTAATTATAGTATGATGGATTTCACTGTTAACCACTATCCATCATTACTATAATTAGAATACCAGTAATATCGAGTCATCTGCACAGAAGCCTATGTGCCAACAGAAACAAATCAATTTGGTCCAGTCAACGACAGTATAATACAAGCTATTATACTAGAACAAACGATTTAACTAAAAACTTCAAAGACTCACATCATAAAGATAACCTTCAATGATAACAACAGGATTCAAATGAGGAGCATATATTGCCTATTTTTAACATTCGATTGTTTCTCAAAAGCATGAAACTGTGCTGCTACGAAATTTACTATCTAATATGTAGGAATTATCGGTCCAAGTCACTCATTTGACTCTGTCTCCGTATGAATATCTATCTATCCTTGAATTACTCAAATTTCTGGACGGTCACAATGGCAACAAACATCTGGACACACGATTTAATCTAGGAGATTAACTCACCTATTGACTCTGAAAGGAACATATCCACAACAATGCCATGCAACAGACTTCTCAAGTATTTCATTTAACAGTGAATATACCTCCTTGATAATGCTGTATGCCTTAAGTTTAACAGTATGAAAAACCTATTGCCATTTGTCTGCAATTCTTCAAATGTTTATTGCTCTGCACAAAAACACCTAACTGTAATGGTATAAATCTATATTGCTTTGAACGGTAACACTTGAATAGAGGAAAATGCTTGGACAGATATTCACTTGAATTACGTGGTTATGTGGAAACTTGTAGATTCCCGAAACCATCAGTGTGGGTTCTTTTGGTCTCTGAAGCTATAAGCATAAGAATTTATGGTGAAATAGACGTTTATCTGGCATAACGTAGCATTAGGAAGTCTAGTCAAACATGTCAACTGCTTGTAACGGAAATTTGGAATTTTGCGTGACCTCGGGGCCACCAATAGTGGGAAAAAAGTATGACTGAAGACAGTCTAAACTTTAACACTCTATACATAGTGAAAAATAGTATTTTCTTGTTCATTTCATAACTTATGAAATCTTCTGATGTTTTTAGTCGAATTTAATGACCTCCCTTCTGTACCATACAGATTTGTCAACGTATATCGATGTTGATTATCATCTGACTGTCTGAGATAGCCATAGTTTGGCAGACTAGTATTTATAGTGGGTGAGGATTGAAGGTGAAGTAAAAATCTGGCCTGCAGCCACATAAGAACCAGCGACCACCGGTTTCCAGCTCAGTGCTGCAACAACTGAGCTACGAGGTCCAACTGCTGACCAGATTTTTATTTCACTTCAATCACCAAATGTTTCATCTGACTACTATGTGAATTCGTGATGCGTTACTACCGCTTGATCATATATACACTGGCTGTCTAGTCAGGACTTCTCACAAATTCACATAGTAGTCGGACAAAGCTGCTGGTGATTGAATGTGAAATAAAAATCTGATAAGTAGTCGAACCTCATACCCTAGTTGGTAGAGGATCGGACAGGAAATCCGTTGGTCACTAGTTCGAATCCTGCCGCGGTCCCAATTTTCATCTCATCTTCAATCAACACCCAGTGCATATCAATGTTATGATACTTGTAAACTGGATTTTCTCATGTTAAATCCCTAATATACGCATAAAACATTTATGTTATATATTTATAATCTACTTAGACATCACTCCTTTTCTATCTACCTGTGTTTTGTGTACTTTTGTGAAGTGTGACAACTTGAGCTAATGCACCGGTGTGTGTGAAGTTCTACTTCGATTTGATCACTAAGTCATTCGTAAACATGACTTACTGGTTAGATGTATAGTAAATAAAAGTAAATTGGTATGATTATATCATTCAGCAAAATAATTTTTTGTAATGAAGGTTTTACTGACGTCAACCATATGAATATAAATTTTCTTTAGAGGGTAAATATTTTTAAATATCAGTACGATTCAATTTACACAATATCAAAGTGATTATTAGTCAATATAAAATGTAATTAAAGTGTGTGTAAGGTATTTTTTTTCCCCTTTTATTGTCAATAAAATCTAACTCTGAGCACTAAGAAAATGTACTTCACATGGTATTAATATGCTTTGTTTACTTACACTACACTACACTACACTACACCACCTATGTTACTTACCTTAAATAAGTGAATCAAGTCAAAGGAAACTGTTAGATTATATTTGTATAATAAACTCGGTAATTATATTTTATTTGTGATTTTTTTTCGAACCGGGACAATAGTCGTTAAATGACAGTATGAAAATGGCATGAAGAGGTAATTTAATTGATGATTTGTGAAAATTCTTTAACTTGAAGGTGGTTTTCATGATGAACTGAAATCATTAAGAAAACTACTACAAATCTGAGAGCAAACGACTGCTGTTTCGTCATAGTTCAAGATTCATCGGTAGAGTACATCTACAATCCTCCAAGAAATAGAAGTCAAACCTCACATCTTATGGCCAATACGTTAATCTTCAGCTTATTGATTGGATCATAATAGTCAACATCTTTGTAATTTTGTCAATATCATGAAAAAGATTTTGACTTCTCTTACATTCCAGCAATTTTTTTTATATTTCTAGTTTTAAATTCGACTTCTTGAATCATTTTTTCAAATCTACTGACTACGCTGTAAAACAGGATTTGTAGCTACTAGCATCGTTTTTGAGGCGGTCACTTTACTACCATAAACTCTCATTTACTGAAATCAAATACTGGGTGACAAATTTTATTGATGTACAGGTGTTCAGCACTTTCTATCTGTGATGTAACCCATTCGGTTTGGACAGAATAAATCGTAGATACGCCTCACCAATGAGCATAAAAAAACATGAAACCTCGATCCAGAGCTTTTTGTCAAATGTCTCTAACAAACATCAGTCAGAGTATACCACTATGGACTGTCTCCCAGTTTGATAACCATATCGCAAAGTGAGCTATAGGATTCAGCCATTATATGGGACTGGACAACATGTGATCCTACAGGAGATCAATTGCCATTCCATTATCTCAGCAACAACGTCTCTGGCTGCAGCACTGGGTGACTTGAAATTGAATCGCTGGGAGAACATCTGTTCTCACAAGGTTACTGATACAACTTGTTGATAAGTTCCAACAAACAAGTAATCTATATCCAGGGTTTGCCACCTACAACTTCTGAATAATTCAATACTTCATATCAATCATAATACTTTACTTGTCTATCTCCCTTATTTTTGTTCTATAATTTAATAACCTGTAACATATTTTTTCATAAAATTAGTTGTAATAACTTCATGCGATGCAAATCATCAATAATATCCAAATTATTCCAGGATTTGAATCACATATACAGTACAATGCCTAGAGTCACTATCTAAGACTGATGTAGGTATCGAACTTTTATAATTTTATAATATAAAGCAGTTGATAAACCAAACCAATTCACTTCTAGTCATACGTTCATGAAATGAATCTTGTGGTTATAATGCAGTTACCTTGGATATTCAGTTAAATTTTTATTGTTTTTTAAAAGAACAATGAAAATAGTGTTTAGTAAAGTTGTTTGAAATCATCCTTTATTCATTGCTTTACATTTTACCTTACTGATATCATTGTTCTTCATTCCTTTTCTTTCTAGTGTTGTATGCATAAAAGACGGACAGATATGTTAAGCGATGTATTAAAACAATTGAATCCATCATACTATTTAAGCATCTGTTCACAGTTAACGTTTGAATTAGCTGGCACACTGAATACATTAAGAGATTTGAAGAACATAATCTTCAATCAGGTTAGTTGTTGATATTTTGATCTACCAAATGCCTTTTTCGTCGTATTCCTTGACTTATATCAGTTGGAAAACCTTTGAAAACCTAGGAGCACTGAATATCTGTTCCGTCCTAGTATAGGATTCTTCAGCAGTACGCATCCCCTGACCTGGCTAGGGGTCGAACTCAGAACCTTCAGGTTTCACGGTTAACGCATTAACCATCCGGTTGCGTGGTCAGAGTTCAATGATTCACAGTTTCCAACTTCTGCCAGCTCACCATATGATGCGACTATCACCCAAGGTCTTCATTTGACAACCGCTTCCCTTCCGATTGCTTGACCCATGTCACGGATCTCAGGCTTTAAATCGTTCTGCAATTGATGTCATTCTGTAATGAATACTACCTGAATATATATATATATATATATATATATATATATATATATATATATATATATATATAATCTTGGATATTTTCGGTTATGTGTGATTAGTAAGTAGAGGTGAATCGCCACTGTTTTATACTTGACTCTAGTGTGGAATACTAAGTAAAAATGAATATTTAGCTATTATCTATCTTAATCTTTGAAAAGACCCACTCCTGAGTGAGGCATGTTATAAACAGGTTGGATTCAGGAAGTACAAATCATGTGCGGACTAAATTGCAACGCTTCACTACGCATCATCATAGAACAGAGTATAGAATGGCAGTCAACTCTCTATTATACCTCAACCTCATCCACTTTGAAAAAGCTTTCGACAGCGTCGACCGAGAAGTAATTTGGCAGCTGCTGCTTCAACATTATGGAATACCGCAAATCTTTATCAGCCTCATTCAACAACTATGTGAAGATACAACATGCCAAGTAATTCACAATGGGAAGCTCAGTGATGCCGTCGAAGTGAAGACAGGAAAGAGTAAGACAAGACTGTCTACTATCATCCATGATATTCCTGATTGTGGTCGACTGGATCATGCAACAAACAGTGAGGAGCGAGAAGAGAGGGTATGCTGGACAGATGAAAACACCCCCGAAGGAGATTTGGATTTCGCCAACGATGACTCGTGTCTAATGTCTTCTAGCACATACTTGAAGATCTACAGGTGAAAACTAACAAGTTGATGGAAGAGATGAGGCAGCGAAAACTGGACTTCAAGTGAACGTAGAGAAGACAGAGGTGATGAAGATACCCAACCAACAAACTGCAATCACCATCAATGGGAGAAAATTAAAGGAAGTAGACTGTTTCACCTATCTAGGTAGCAACATTTCAACTACTGGCGACACAGGCACAGATGAGAATGTCAAAGCCAGTCAGGATCGGAAAGACAACAAGACAGGTGTTCATTAACCTGAAACCAGTGTGGAGATCTTCTGCACTCCACTCAGCAAAAGCGTGAACAACATCCGAATTGTCAACACTAACGTGAAGTCGAGTTAGTGCTCGTGTATGGTTGAGAGACTTGGAGTGTTACGAAGAGCATTTCCAACAAAGTACAGACATTCATGAACAACTGCGTACACTGGCTGGTTAGTGAAGCTGAGATGGGCAGGATGATAAGAATAAGGAAGAAGGAAGTCTGGTTGGCTGGCTGGCTGGCTGGCTGACTGGCTGGTGACGAAGCAACGAGGCAAGAAGCTATCGCTGAACAAATATGCAGTGTAAGGAAGTGAAGATGGATTGGATTGAGCATACACTGAGATGGTCGACTTGGGACATCACGCGTCAGGCCATGCCTAGCCATCGAGTGGAAGCCAGATGGGAATCGACGAGTTGGTTGTGCGAGGCCAGGCTGAGATGGATGAGATGGTGTGAGGAAGAAATGATAGGTTGTGGGAGGTTGTGGATCCAGGTTGAAAATATTTCAGAGATGAGAGTGTAATGGAGACGTGCTACTGAAGCCCTATGTTCAACTAGGAACCAATGGGATAAATAATGATGATGATGACTGCCGTGATCGTCAAGGCCCGTTGTTATTCTTACGCATATTGATTCAAGTCTAATAACCCTAGAAAAGACAAATTTGAAGTTTTATAATCCCGTTAGTATCACGATTATTTTGAAAAGGAATAACTGATTCAAGAAAGTCATTTTAACTGGCCTCAGAATGCCATTGTAGTGGAAGGTGTAAGAACAAACGAGATAAGAATCTTTCTATTCCTCTCCTTTGTCTGTGAACATAAAACTCAATATGTAACTAAGTTAATCGTGTATTAATTTTTAGATAACATGAAATGAATTTCAATAAAAACCATTTTAAGAGTTATCTAAAGTAAGTTTAGAAAAGTTTTTTCTTAGAATGATTAAATCAAACTCGGCGTTAAACTTCTTCTAGGACATTCCTAACAGTTATGGTCTAGATATTTAGTGCCTTAAAATAGATCAATTCTTCACAAGTCAATCAATTACATAACAATTTTATGCTGATTATCAACTAACCTGTGTGCACTGCAGAGAAGTTCCAAACTAAGATGGAATACTCTTCCGTTGGCCTCAACGTTTTGGCACTTCTTCAGCCTATATTAATCGATGATGATACCTACCATTAAATCCATCAAATCTTCACAAATAATTCTATGAAAGGTTCTAGCATAACTTTCAAAAAATATAGTGATAATTGTCATTTGATTACCTCAGATAACTGTGGTTTGGCAGACTAGTATTTATACTGGATGATGATAGAAGGTGAGATGAAAATTTGGTCCACGGCAGGATTTGAAGCAGCGACCACCGGATTTCTGGTACAATGCTCTGCCAACTGAGGTGTCACATAATGATAATTATATGAAAACTACAGTCACTTAATTGTTGGAAAAACAAATGCATTTAAACTAATTAACAGAAATATCTGTCAGGAAATAGCTAGTAGGCGGTTGTGTATTTACGAAGAAACATGATTACTTTAACGTTATCCAGTAGAAGAATTTAGGTAAGGGTAGATTCAGACTAGAATACCTATTTCTAAATTGAGTTTAAGTTGTTTCTATACACGTCATCTGAGGGAACGTGAAAGCTGACACATTTGTGAGAATGGTTGATACTTCTCAACTGCTCACCACGTGGAAGGCTGTCACGACAGATGTCAGGAGAAATCCGCTTGAAGTTAATGACACAGGGCCTTCTTTGAAGTTTGATAGCTTTGTTATGTCCAAATTCGGCTGTGGACCTGTTTCACCGGCACCAATACACTATGGGGTAAACGGAGAGTCTGCTGATTTTAAGGCTAGCCTTTGGAACGGCCATTCCACAGGGAAAGCAGCATCAGCGTAGTAGTGATAGTCGTCAGCGGGAAACAACTTGCTGCTGTCCTACCCGATTCAGTTAGCATTATGACTGCCTCCAGACCCTCATCATAGGACACCAATTTACACTATAACAGTAATTGCTTTTTATCTCACCGTTATCCGACTGACCTTTCTTTTATGGTGGAATTGTCGAGGGAAGAAACGTTCACTAGCATAGCTCACTGGGTCATTGTTAATGCAAACCTGATCACCATGTCACGGTAGCTGCTATCGGTCAGGAAATGAAAAGAACTAATAGAATATCCATGAAGAATCGGTTTCTAAACAAGAAATGAACTCATGAATTTGTAAATGATTCGTTGTTGTAATTTTTGAGATTATTTGAAGCATTACATCTATCTATGACATTTTACGATCGTTAAGAATTAGATAAAATAGCTGTCCGTTATACCTCATTTTGAATAGTTCCTTAAATGATGCATGATTTCAATGACATTTAACCTTTAACTGTGTTTGTAGTTTTCTAGATTGACGGGATATTCAGCTATATGACAAACAAATCAGATAAGAAATTTCTTTCTTATTGTGACATAAGTTGCAGGTTATTTTAATTACTTATCTCCTATACTAGCGAACTGTATGTAGACACTATATCTTTCAAGATATCTCACTAGGGTCTGGTTTTAGAATTGCTTAACGTTCAAGAATGTATGCTGATATGCTAGAGAACGTTTCAGATGAGTGATATTTATCCAGTGATGTTGTTTTCATTTGAAATAGAATATGTTCCAATCTTCACTACTGGATTTACGATGTGTTTCCCTGAAAGACAAAAAATGTTTTTTTTCCGCCTAAGTTATCTATCGAAAGACAGAAATCGGTTGAGAACATGAAGCACTCTAACAGAACTAAGTAGTTACTTTGACTGATTACTGTTAAATTACTATTTTCGTAATAAGATTTCAGTCATTGCTTGTACACTTATAAATTATCAGATTATTCAATTCTGTGAATCAAGAACATATTTAGATTCAACAGTGACTCATTACCGAAATTACGCACAAGATCTCGATGCAAGTGTTTGTACACTTCAGCATCTCAAATAGTTTACAGTCACATTATTCATAAGTCCTATCTGAGAACATAAGAACCTTCGTTTACGCTACATTGTATCACCCACAATTACCTGACTGATGCTTATAAATTTGACAAACCTGATAAGGTCAGCAAACGTTTTAAGTCATACTAACAGTTATACTAATCATCAGCGTAGTTCGGACTAGAATTGGTACTTTTTACAAGAAATTCGAATATCTTTCCAGAAACTTGATTCATCCAGCACTGATCAGTCAACAGTGTGCGGTTAATGATTTAGTTAATATTGATCGATCTTATTTTTAACAAACTTTTGGCGACTGCATACTTTCCCATCTGCATCCCACTCGACGGCCTGACGCATGACGTCCTCAAACGGCATTGTCAGTCTATAACAGATCCATCTCCACTTCCTATCCTATCTTCATGGGATACTTATACATCATCTCCCAATATGATACCTAATTTCATCTCCGTTAGGCGAAAAGGAAATTGAACAACAACATCAAAAACTTGCATTTGACACGCAAACACATACATTTTCTGGATATTGTAAGGGCCGAGTGTGCTACTACTGTCTAACATCTGACTAGTCCCATGTAAATCAACGTGCGCCAGTAACAAAACACTCTATATCTTACCCACATGTAAGCACTAGTAACAAAAACAAGTAAGAAAATACGTCAGATAGAAACAAAAAGCTCAGACGACCGGATTATTTATTATTTTGAAGTAAAAACGTTATTTTCCACGGAGACCCTTTACTCCGTTGGCGCAATCAATGAGTCTTAATAGATCCGCAATTTGAGAGAATGCTTTCACTTCGTGTATGCGTTAGGTCCAGTATCCGTTGCTAGCAACCCAATTGACAACGACGCGAATTTAATAGACCGAAACATGAATGTTTGCGAACGATGTATTTCTAGCTCACTTTGATCGGCAAACCGAAAACCGAAAGAGGTGCGAAGTGTATAAGGTTTGGAGAAGGTGCGCGGAATGTTCTCAGACATTCCGGATGCAGACAAACATCTCAAAAGCGTACCATACCTGACAGCTGAATGATATGTTCGAGGGAAGAAATTGAACAAACTACAAGCTTAAGGTGATCACTCTATGAATGGCTGAACTAGGGAGTCTGCCTGCATTGCTCCTGATCAGCACGAAGATGAGGCGAAAATGTTGAATGTCGAAATCCCCGATACCAATACGTCACAATAAAAGTAATAAAACTAAAGTTACCCATCAACACCGTTGAAGATTATCCAGTTGGTACTCACGTACTCTAAGTGTTTATTTATCCAAATTAAACTTGGCAATATTTCGGGCCAAGAAGCGCTATCATGATATTAGGAAACGAATCCGATGTAATGCGTTTCAAAGTTTGCACTAGTTATATGTTCATTATTATTATTACTATTTCTACATTGGGTTCCCAGTAGGATATGGGGCTTCAGTTGCACGTCTCCATTTCACTCCCTACTCCTCAGTCTTTTCAACCTGGCTACACCACTGCACACAAGCTGTCATTTCAACCTGACTCGATATCCTCCATGTCACCCTCACACGCCCAACACGTCCTTTCTGATTTCAGCTACATTTGAGGCCACACCTTGCCTCGCAATGACCCCAAATGGTCTTGTCAGTGTGTAACTGATCCATCTCCACTTCCTTCTGCATATTTCTTGGATGATACCTCGTTAGTTGGTTCATCCACAGACAGAGTGAGTTTCTTGTTGCTTGTTCTTATTATTCTCACCATCTGATCTACATCTTCAGTGTCAGTATCGAATGAGCATAGGCGGCTGCAGATGTGATGTATGCCTGAGTTTAAGTGTAAAACTCGGGCACTGTGGTCCAGTGTAATTCCGTTCTAGTCAGTTTATTAGAAATATCACACAGTGAAACAGTAGCACTCACTGGATAACGTCTCGGATACAACGTATTGTCCACATTCATATCAGGTAACTCCACAACTTCGAGATAGTCTTTATATATTTCTAGTTTTCTCCATTCCCCCCTCTTCTCTGTGATGACAAGGGTAGTAGAAATTTCCATATATCTGGGACAGGTGCAGCATCATTTAGATTGCATGTGCTTGGTGTTGATTCGATCGAATGAACACCGAACACAGAGTAAAGTGGAATGTCTATAGTCTGTTGGAAATGCTTTTCATGACGCGGCAAGTCTCTCAAACATCACATGGAAGCACTGACTTACTTGACTGGCATTAGTCTTCAAAATCCGAATCTTGTTCACGCTTTGTGCTGAGTGCAGTGCAGTGCAGTGCAGTTCAGTGTAGTGCAGTAGATCTGCACACTGATGATTTCAGATTAATGCAGGAGGGTCTGTCTTGCCGGCCTTTTGATCCTGGCTGCTGTGACATCCTCATCCCTGCCGCCGTCGTCGTCGACGTCACCGCCTGTAGTTGAAACGATGCTGCCTAGATAGGTAGGTGAAAACGAGAACTCCCTTCAGTTTTCTCACCTTCATGGTGATTGGTGCCTCGTGTTGTTGTTGTTGTTGTTGTTGTTGTTGTTGGTGGTGATGGTGGTGGTGGTGGTGGTGGTGGTAGTGGTGGTGGTGGTGGTGGTGGTGGTGGTGGTGGTGGTGGTGGTGGTGGTGGTGGTGGTGGTGGTGGTGGTGGTAGTGGTGGTGGTGGTGGTGGTGGTGGTGGTGGTGGTGGTGGTGGTGGTGGTGGTGGTGGTGGTGGTGGTGGTGGTGGTGGTGGTGGTGGTGGTGGTGGTGGTGGTGGTGGTGGTGGTGGTGGTGGTGGTGGTGGTGGTGGTGGTGGTGGTGGTGGTGGTGGTGGTGGTGGTGGTGGTGGTGGTGGTGGTGGTGGTGGTGGTGGTGGTGGTGGTGGTGGTGGTGGTGGTGGTGGTGGTGGTGGTGGTGGTGGTGGTGGTGGTGGTGGTGGTGGTGGTGGTGGTGGTGGTGGTGGTGGTGGTGGTGGTGGTGGTGGATAAGTATCTTCATCACCTCTGTCTTCTCTACGTTCACCCGAAGTCACATCTTCACTTCCAGTGCCTCACCTCACCTCTCCTGTCACCTTGTCAACTTTCGCCTGCACATCTTCGAATTTCTGCGACAACACATTAGACATAAATCATCATCATTGTTGGCAGAATACAAGTCTTCTTCTAGTCTTCTCATCGGTCAAACAGCCAGCCGGCTTACGCCCATCTTCTTTCTCACAGCTACTCACAATTTCCTGCATCTCACTGTCCAATCCAATACAGTCGAGTCGACCACAATCAGGAAGATGATCGGTGATCGTGGGTGTCAAGCTTGTCCCACTCCTGTCTCCACTTCGAAGGCATCACTCAGCTGAGCTTTCCATTATCAATCACTTGACATGTGGCCTCCTCATTCAGCATATACCTGCTGTTGAATGAGGTGGGTGGATAGAGGTTTGTGGCAGTGAAACCGTAGTGTTGAAGCAGCAGTTGCCAAATTACTTCTAGGTTGACGCTGTCGAACGCATTTTGAAAATCACTGAAGTTGAGGTAAGGGTACAGTTGACTGACATTCCATGCTGTGTTCTATGATGATGCGTGGCGTAGAGTCACAATTTGATCTGAACATGATTTGTACTTCCTGAATGCAGTCGGTCAGTCAGTCAGTCAGTCAGTCAGTCAATGAGTCAGTCAGTCAGTCAGTCAATCAGTCAGTCAGTCAATCAATCAGTCAGTCAGTCAGCAAGCCTGCCTGCCTGCCTGTTCCAGTCGTTATCCAGTTGAATGCAAAGCATGTTCCAGTCTATCCAGGATGATGCGGCATAATATTTCGCTTGTTTTGGGTGGAGAGGAAGGGGGCATGATTCCACGCCACTTCTTGCAAACACTTAACTCTCCCTTCTTACACAGTTTGATGAGATAGCACTTCTTCCACTCGACAGGTACCCTTCCTTCCTACCTGCATTCCTTCCTTCCTTCCTTCCTTCCCTCCAAACCTCCTGCAGTAGTGATGTGAGCATGTCACTTGTTGTCTCTGCATGTGTTTTCACTGCTTCTGGAGGAATTCCATGTGGTCCTGTTGGTTTCTCGGCTTTCGGCAGCTTTATGACATTGAGGACTTCTGCTTTTGTCAGAGGACTTGTGATCACTGGTAGTTGTGTAGGTGGGCTGCTGGTGGTATTTGTGAACGAGTTGCAGTTGGTGGTGGTGGTGGTGGGGGGGTGGTCGATCCAAGAGTTGTTTAAGTGGTCGGTGGATCGTTTCCTTTGTTTCTCTTTGGTAACTAGGTTTCCTTCACTATCTTTCATTGGTTTCATCTGTGTTGATCTCCTCCCTACCAGATAGTAACCTGGTTGTTTGATGTAGTGTTGTCAGGTCTGTGTCTCTCCTACCTGCAGCCTCCTCTGCTTCACTTGCAAGTGTGTCTTAGATTTATCTTTTGTCCTTCCTAGCACTCTTCTTCACTTCCTTATCCAGTGTTTTATAGGTTGTATTCAGTTCTTCTTTTCGTTGTTCATCCCTGCATTGAACTAGTTCTTCTTCTGCTTCACCATCTTCCTCTCCCTCCTCTATCAGCTTCCATATTGCCGTCGAGATCCATTCCTTATCTTCTTTCTTCTTCCTTCCTAATACGGTATGCAGCATTCTTTCCACATAGCTTTCAGAGAGTTCCAGTGTTCATCCACACGTGTTTCTTCAGGGATGTTGCTCAATGTCTCTCATTTTGTCCTGATGGCTGACATGAAGATGTTTTTTGTAGTTTTGTCCTTCAGGTTCTGGGTGTTGAACTTTAACTGTGGTCTATCACCAACTTCTTTGAAAGTTTTCAACTTGATTTGCAGATTCGTTGCACTAGATAGTAATCAGAACCTATGTCTTTTCCGCTTCTTGATGCTTTATCTTACTTACCATGATCATGGCAGTTTCACAGTTTTCGATTTGACAATGATTAGTTATTTCAAGTTGTTATTCATCGAATACTGACATCAGTTTGAGGAACAAAGGAAACCTGGGAGCACTGGACAGCTGTTTCGTCCTAGTATGGGACTCCTCGGCAGTGCGCACCCACGACCCCACCAGCAGGGATCGAACCCGCGACCTTCAGGTTCCGCGGCCAGCACGTTACCATTGAGCCACTGGGTCAGAATCCAATGCTCCATATTTCCAACTTCTCTTAGCTCACGATATAGCGCGAACCGCCACCCAATGTCATCGTTGAGTATCTGTCCTCACGGCCATCAGGCTTTGACTCCACCGGTCACGACTTGTCATTAGAACTTCGGGAATACTTCTCGAAGCTAGTCACCAATGAGCATCAGTTCAATTAAATTTTTGAGGGGGACGAAACAGCTGTCCAGTGCTCCCAGGTTTCCTTTGTTCCTCCAACTGATGTCAGTCTTCGATGAATAACAACTTGAAATATTTCCAAATCTCCGCAACCCCCTCAAAAATTTAATGATTAGTTAGTTATCACCTTCATTATGATTTTTGTTTCCTTCTTCACCTTCTGTATATCTATCAAGTGGGTAATCAATCTTCGCATTTCACATCTACCAACAATTTTCATCTTGTGAAACTTGTTGAGTTTCTCATTGCTTCCGTTTTATAAAAGCTTGTTACGCGACCACTCTCCATTCTTGATTTCACTTTTTAGCACTAACCTAAGGGTATGACAATACCCACTTATTCAATAAAAGACTATTATATGTTTGTGATATGCATAAATACGACTGTAAGGCTTTACAAAATGATATCGTTGAAATAAAAACATCCTTTCCTGAACTATCTCTTATATTCTTTATGACTCGATGGGAATGTTTCGTTTTCTATGGAAGATTCCCGTAATCTCTGAACTTGCCAATGGCATATTAAAATCTTGAATGTTAACCATTCCATAGAAATATAGACTTTTTGACTCGTTTGGTATGTTTATTGTTTCAGTTAATAAGAACATAGTTTCTGGAATCGTTTTATTTCGACTTCATAAATTAAGCAGTTTAGTATCTTATCGTATTGCCATGGATTAAATGTTATAGTGCAGTTGAGTATTTAATGTGTTCTGGAAAAGAGTATTCATGTAAGACTTTTGCTAATGTTGTTCAATTTAAATATGTTTACAAAATCTAATGGTAGAGTGTTTCAAATTTATTGAAACTATACTTCACAAGTAATTAATATCCTTCAATATGAATTAAGCAATTTCTTGTTTTACATAAATAGGCATATTTATGCATGTATAAATTTTGTTCTATAGGTTCACAAAAATCAGGTTCAGAATCAATTCATTATGCTCGCAAGTTCAATGATCTTACAAAACGTGCAATATCTGCTTATGAAAATTTCTTAAATTTAAACGGAATTTCATCGAATAAAACAAGTTTATATTTCAAAGAATCTGATATAAAACCAATTGTTGTAAGTCAGTATATTTTAAATGTTTAGAAATAAATGGTTTCTATATGGAGTGGGGTTCAAACCCGTGGTCCACCAGTGTCCTAAAGAATGAGCCACAGCCTAACATCTGATAATGAAAGAATTTCTAGTAAACTTCAATCGTGATTCATACCAATATCAGATAATGATTTTAGTAGTCCTCAACACTTATCTAATGACGTCTCCGTTATCTGTAAAACAATATTACTTACAATGGAAAGTCAGTAATGACCCAGAGAGGAATAGTACTTTCACCTGATGGCAGCTTATTTTTATTCCACTATAAAATATACAAATGTCTAAAGTTGTATAGTAATGATGGGCAGTGGAATCCAGGAGGCGGATTTTGTCCGATTTGGACTTGTCAACTGGATGTACCTGCCTCCCAGTGAGTGATGTCGTTCCCACCGAGACTCGGGTCCAATCAACGACGGTGTAATACAAGCAGTAACATTGAAACTATATCCGTCGCACAGGAAGTGGCTATCGTGGCTTAGCGGTGTAGTGGATAACACTCTGGCGTTTGAAGCGATCGCTCCCGAGTCCGAGTCTTATTGGGAACAACATCACTCACTGGGAGGCAAGTACATCCAGCTGACGAGTCCTACTGTAAGCCACTGCCCACCATTACTATAAATAGACTGGATGGTTTGAGAAAACTTGGGCACTGAGTTAGTATGATTCATTCTATAAGGTGCATTTTTACCTATGTATTCCCGGCGTAGTATATTAGAACAAATAACAAAAGAAACAAAATATTTTGTATTATTCATCAACGTTTCGATCTCGCTAGGAAGATCTTTTCAAGAGTATGATTCTGAAATGAAGTTTCAGGTTAATATTCAGGTGACCTTTAAGATCATCCAATTACCTAGTGATATGGAGCAAAGATCGATGTAATACAGGTGAGTGAATAAACAACTCGGTCAGAGAAGCTTTTTTCTGTTGTGCGAGTAAGGTGGAACAAAAATAGGGTGGGGAAAATGTTTCTGGTTGGTGTATGACAAGTACAATGGGGTTGTGAGTCATCAAGGGTGAGAAAGAATAGATTACTAGTTTCGAAGGATGAATATTTGGAGATCAGATAATATATAATAAATAAACAATAATAGTTTAGAAGTAGTATTCATCATGGACTGACATCAGTTGGGGAATCATTGAAAATCTGGGAGGACTGGACAGCTGTTTCGTCCAACTAGTATGGGACTAGGGATGGAACTCAGGACCTTCAGGTTTCATGGCGAATGTCTTAACCATTCAGCCATTCGGTCGGTTTCCAGTGGTTCGCAACCAGTCAGAAACCGACCCAGTGGCTGAATGGTTAACATATTCACCGTGAGACCTGAAGGTCCTGAGTTCGATCCCTAGTCGGGTTGTGGATGCGTACTGCTCAGGAGTCCCATACTAGTTGGACGAAACAGCTGTCCAGTGCTCCCAGATTCCCAATGGTTCCCCAACTGATGTCAGTCCACGATAAATACTACTTGTAAATTAAAAATCCCTATTCATCTGAAAAATGCATTACTGTATAGTGCTCATTAGTGACTGGCTTCCAGATGGATGTCAGCAAGTCCTAATGAGAAGGCGTGACCCGTGGAGTCAACCAGTCGGAAGTGAAGTGGATGCTAACTGAAGACATTGGGTGACAGTCACGCTATGTTGTGAATTGACAGAAGTTGGAAATTGTGAACCACTGGAAATCGACCCACTGGCTGAATGGTTAGGGCGCTCTCCGTGAAACCTGAAGGTCCTGAGTTCGATCCCTAGTCCCACACTAGTTGGACGGAATAGCTGTCAAGTGCTCTCAGATTTTCAATGGTTCCCTAACCGATGTCAGTCCATGATAAATACTGCTTCTAAAATGGATTATGTTATATGTAGAATGGTTCATCGAGTGTATATAACTCAGAAAGGAGTGTAAAATTGATGGAAATAGTGGATCAATAAAGTGCTATGTAATAGGACTAGACAAGCTGTTAAAATGAAACCAATATTATTTTTAAATCAAAATAAGTTTGAACAAGAAGTTTGGGAACTGAACTGTGATCAGGTAGAACATAGTAACAAGAATGAGTAGGAAATAACTATAAAAGTGAATACTATCGAAACAGTACTATAATTGAAAACATCATCAACACAAATCACCCTGTCAAAAACCTCATCGTGTAAAGTCATCTATAAAGTGAAAAGAAATCTTCCAAAGGCTTTACTTCTTCGTATTCTCTGCATTGGCGAAGCTTTTGTTATCCAAATGGAGAAGCTTGAACTGTGTGCACAAAAGAAGATTGTTCAACCCCTCTTTTTTCATAGTCTTAATTTTCAGTCTCCTCTACTGCCCCTTTTTTTTCTTTTCATCTTTCTGTTTTGATACTGTTCACTTCTAAAGTAACTTGTTACTCACGTTCTTGTTACTATGTTCTACCTGATCACAATTCAGTTTCCAAATTTCTTGTTCAAACTTATCATGAGTTAACAGAAGTTGGAAATATGAACTACTGGATTCTGACCCAGTGGCTCAATGATAACGTGCTGGCCGCAGAACCTGAAGGTCACGGGTTCGATCCCTGGAGGGGTCGTGGGTACGCACTGCTGAGGAGTCCCATACTAGGACGAAACAGCTGTCCAGTCCTCCAGGTTCCCTTTATTCCTCTAACTGATGTCAGTTTACTATGAATAATAACTTGAAACTTATTTTGATTAGTATTCACTACTCATCAGTTTTTAGTTGTTTTTTTTGGTGTTAATATCAACTCATTTATTGACACTATTTGTGCTGCCATGCTTGACAAATCGTTTTACAACTATCAAATCCTTACACAAGATAAATAAATGTATAAATTTTCAATTGTAACAGCTTTGAAAATTAAATCACTGAAATACTTTCTTATTCTTCTTTCAAAACTATAAATCAATTTCTAAATAGAATATTTATCATATACCAGGTAAAATCATATGCAGCAACAGTGGGCAGCGAGAAGAGGGGGATACACTGGACTGCGGAAAAGAACCTAGAAGACTTGGATTTCGCCGATGACTTGTGCCTGATGTCACACAAACTTGAAGATCTACAGGTGAAGACTAACAAGTTGGCAGAAGAGGCAACGAAGACGGGACTTCAGGTGAATATAGAGAAGACAGAGGTGATGAAGATACCGCACCACCACCACCACCACCACCACCAACAACAACAACAACAACAAACTCCAATCACCGTCAACGGGAGAAACTTAAAGGAAGTAACCTCCTTCACTTATCTAGGAAGCACTGTGTCAACTACAGGCGGGACGGACGAGGACGTCAAAGTCAGAACCGGAAAAGCAAGATAGGCGTTCATTAGCCTGAAACCAATGTGGAGATCTTTTGCACTCAGCATGCGGAACAAGATACGGATTTTCAACACCAACGTCAAGTCAGTGCTTCTGTATGGTTGAGAGACTTGGCGAGTCACGAAAGGGATTTCCAATAAACTACAGACATTCATCAACAACTGCTTACGCTCGCTACTGAAGATCAGATGGCCAGAAAGAATAAGCAACAAGGAACTCTGGGTACGAACCAACCAAGAACCTGTCACGCAACAAATATGCAGGAAGAAGTGGAGATGGATTGGATTGGGCATACACTGAGAAGGCGGACTGGGGATATGACGCGCCAGGCTAGGTGCTCGAGTGGAACTCAGATGGGTAGCGACGAGTTGGACGTCCGAGGGTGACATGGAGGAGGTCGTGCGAGGAGGAAATGAGAGCTTGTGGGCTGTCGTGGAACCAGGTTCAAAAGATCTCAGAGAACAGAGTTCACTGGAGACATGCTACTGAAGCCCTATGTTCCACTAGGAACCCAAGGGACTAATAATAATATAAAATGATAGGTAAAATCATGAAATGTGATAGTTATTTGCAGTGTGGTTTACTGTTCCACTGTGCGATACTTGGAATAAGTTTAACTAAAATGGAATTATATTCTACTATAGTGCTTAAGTTTTACTCTTATTATAATCAAACAAACTATTATGGTTACATTTATATTTATTTTGAATTCGATAGTCTTAAACAACTATAACCCACAACCTTGAAGATCGAAATTGTAGACTGTAAGGCAGTAGATATTCGAGAAATAAGTCGACTCTTTACAGATATTTCAGGTTTCATTACCATTTATTGATATACTTGTAGTTCTCAGTTGTTTTATTGGATCGAATTGTTCAACCTCTATTGGCATATAGACTTCTATACGGATGCCTAGATATTGCCTGAATGTTAATTATGAGAATTTGGTTGATTATGACTAACAGAAGAATCCAGGAAGCATGTTTTGTACTTAATTCCTCTGTTAGGCAAAATCAACCAAATTTCAGACTTCAGCTTGTCTGAAATTGGTATGACTTTTTTTTTTAAAAAAAGATGTTTTCTAACTTAACTACTATTTATATTTCTAGATGGCGTGTATATACACCGCTCGTTTATATTCTCAACTTATTTCAATTGACAATATGGAGAAAATTCAAAATTTGACAAAAGCTTTAAACTTTTATTCACAAACAGTTTTTGCTCGCAGAAATCATATTAAGCATAATTCTACAACTTTGATAAAAAGTTGTGAAGAAATCAGGATAGCTAAAGAGATGGTTAGTTTATTGCCAATCAAACTCAGCAGATTATCTCGTGGGGAAATTATACCAGATTAATTATAGGGGAAAAAAGGGAATATAATTGTACATATTTTTTTATTATCTCAAATTAAGTTTCTATTAACATATATTAATAAGATTTTATTTGAATTGCTTTTTAAAATGTTGACATCTCTTGCATAAACGGAGAAACATAACCTTTCTGATCAGAACTCAGAAACTAATAAAGGTTTGACGTTGAAAAATTACAAGTTGATATCAGGAATATACGTTTTCTCTTCTTTATTAAATTTGGATATTTTATTGTCCGTACTTACCGCCTCACGTAACTTCTGATGCTGTTTGACCAGTTCCTACTAATAGTTCATTCTTTTAACAGGCTATATTTATTAAGAAGCCATATGTTGTGAATGAACCCACTGTTGTGTTAAGATACTGTTTAGTACTACTAAGATACTAAAATATGTAAAACCACATAAAATTGATAGTAAACAGGTACTATCTCGGAAGAGATCAACACAGATGAAACTAATGAAAGATACTGGAGGAAACCTAGTTACCAAAGAGAAACAAACGAAGCGATCCAATCACCACTTCAAAACTCTTGGATCGACCACCCCCACCACCACCACCACCACCACCAACTGCAACTCGTCCACAAATACCACCAGCAGCCCACCTACACAACTACCACTGATCACAAGTCCTCTGACAAAAGCAGAAGTCCTCAATGTCATAAAGCTGCCGAAAGCCGAGAAACCAACAGGACCACATGGAATTCCTCCAGAAGCAGTGAAAACACATGCAGAGACAACAAGTGACATGCTCACATCACTACTGCAGGAGGTTTGGAGGGAAGGAAGGAAGGAAGGAAGGAAGGAAGGAAGGAAGGAAGGAAGGAAGGAAGGAAGGAAGGAAGGAAGGAAGGAAGGAAGGAAGGAAGGAAGGAAGGAAGGAAGGAAGGAAGGAAGGAAGGAAGGAAGGAAGGAAGGAAGGAAGGAAGGAAGGAAGGAAGGAAGGAAGGAAGGAAGGAAGGAAGGAAGGAAGGAAGGAAGGAAGGAAGGAAGGAAAGAAGGAAGGAAGGAAGGAATGCAGGTAGGAAGGAAGGGTACCTGTCGAGTGGAAGAAGTGCTATCTCATCAAACTGTGAAAGAAGGGAGAGTTAAGTGTTTGCAAGAAGTGGCGTGGAATCATGCTCCCTTCCTCTCCACCCAAAACAAGCGAAATATTATGCCGCATCATCCTGGATAGACTGGAACATGCTTTGCATTCAACTGGATAACGACTGGAACAGGCAGGCAGGCAGGCTTGCTGACTGACTGACTGATTGATTGACTGTCTGACTGACTGACTCATTGACTGACTGACTGACTCATTGACTGACTGACTGACTGACTGACTGACTGACTGACTGACTGACTGACTGACTCATTGACAGACAGACTCATTGACTGACTGACTGACTGCATTCAGGAAGTACAAATCATGTTCGGATCAAATTATGACTCTACGCCACACATCATCATAGAACACAGCATGGAATGCCAGTCAACTGTACCCTTACCTCAACTTCATTGATTTTCAAAATGCGTTCGACAGCGTCAACCTAGAAGTATTTTGGCAACTGATGCTTCAACACTACGGTTTCAGTGCCACAAACCTCTATCCACCCACCTCATTCAACAGCAGGTATATGCTGTATGAGGAGGCCACATGTCAAGTGATTGTTAATGGAAAGCTCAGCTGAGTGATGCCTTCGAAGTGAAGACAGGAGTGGGACAAGCTTGACACCCACGATCACCAATCATCTTCCTGATTGTGTTCGACTCGACTGTATTGGATTGGACAGTGAGATGCAAGAAAGTGTGAGTAGCTGTGAGAAAGAAGATGGGCGTAAGCCGGCTGGCTGTTTGACCGATGAGAAGACTCTAGAAGAAGACTTGTATTCTGCCAACAATGATGATGATTTATGTCTAATGTGTTGTCGCAGAAATTCGAAGATGTACAGGTGAAAGTTGACAAGGTGACAGGAGAGGTGAGGTGAGGCACTGGAAGTGAAGATGTGACTTCGGATGAACGTAGAGAAGACAGAGATGATGAAGATACTTATCCACCACCACCACCAACAACAACAACAACAGCAACAGACACCAATCACCATGAAGGTGAGAAAACTGAAGGGAGTTCTCGTTTTCACCTACCTATCTAGGCAGCATCGTTTCACCTACAGGCGGTGACGTCGACGGCGACGGCGGCACAGATGAGGATGTCACAGCAGCCAGGATCAAAAAGGCGGCAAGACAGGCCCTCCTGCATTAATCTGAAATCATCAGTGTGCAGATCTACTGCACTGCACTGCACTACACTGCACTGCACTGCACTCAGCACAAAGCGTGAACAAGATTCGGATTTTGAAGACTAATGCCAGTCAAGTAAGTCAGTGCTTCCATGTGATGTTTGAGAGACTTGCCGCGTCATGAAAAGCATTTCCAACAGACTATAGACATTCCACTTTACTCTGTGTTCGGTGTTCATTCGATCGAATCAACACCAAGCACATGCAATCTAAATGATGCTGCACCTGTCCCAGATATATGGAAATTTCTACTACCCTTGTCATCACAGAGAAGAGGGGGGAATGGAGAAAACTAGGAATATATAAAGACTGTCTCGAATTTGTGGAGTTACCTGATATGAATGTGGACAATAAGTTGTATCCGAAACGTTATCCAGTGAATGCTACTGTTTCACTGTGTGATATTTCTAATAAACTGACTAGAACGGAATTACACTGGACCACAGTGCCCGAGTTTTACACTTAAACTACAGGCATACATCACATCTGCAGCCGCCTATGCTCATTCGATACTGACACTGAAGATGTAGATCAGATGGTGAGAATAATAAGAACAAGCAACAAGGAACTCACTCTGTCTGTGGATGAACCAACTAACGAGGTATCATCCAAGAAATATGCAGAAGGAAGTGGAGATGGATCAGTTACACACTGACAAGACCGTCTGAGGTCATTGCGAAGCGAGGTGTGGCCTCAAATGTAGCTGAAATCAGAAAGGAAGTGTTGGGCGTGTGAGGGTGACATGGAGGATATCGAGTCAGGTTGAAATGACAGCTTGTGTGTAGTGGTGTAGCCAGGTTGAAAAGACTGAGGAGTAGGGAGTGAAATGGAGACGTGCAACTGAAGCCCCACATCCTACTGGGAACGCAATGTAGAAATAATAATAATACTAGTAATAATAATAATAATAATAATAATAATAATAATAATAATAATGGTAATGAACATATAACTAGTGCAAACTGTGAAACGCATTACATTGGATTTGTTTCCTAGTATCATAATACAGCTTCTTGGCCCGAAATATTGCCAAGTTTAATTTGGATAAATAAACACTTAGAGTAAGTGAGTACCAACTAAATAATCTTCAACGGTTTTTATTGGGTCCAAGTAGCATCGTCAGCGGCATATTGTATTCAATTTTCAACGCATTCCCTAGGTTCTGCATGAAGAAAGAAATAGGACATTAGAGTGCTAAGAAAAGAAAAACCAAGCAATCCGAAGTGGGGAGAGTACAGAAAAGAATAATAATAGCCAATCGAAAAAAGTTTTTGAAATTTAAATTGTATTTCTGGTTTTTTAGATATGAAAAACCATTGATAGTGCATGCCACGACAAAATAGTTGAAACTCCGAATTTACCGAGTGTGAAGTTGCGCTGGGGCTGATCACGAAATAGGCGTATAGTTTGGGCCAATGTACACGCCTCCCAGCACGTGTAGAGGGTACTGGATCAGTGCTACTAGACGTGGCTCTTTTAGAAGATTCAGAGTACGCGCGACTAGACGAGTCTGTTTGGGAGTCTGGCGGCAAGGGTTTTTCTAGTTGTGTCGGTGTAGAGGAAGGTGGGTCGTCCTCTATATAAGCTGCCTTCAAACGATCGACACTTATAGAATCCTGCCGTCCAGATCTGTCAATGACGAAAAACTTTTCTTTCTTACTGAGAACCTTGAAAGGTCCGTCGTATGGTGGCTGTAAGGGTTTACGTACACCGTCACAACGCACAAAGACGTGAGTGCAATCTTGGAGTCTTTTATCCAACTGCACCCGTCTACACTGTATCCGTGTGGATGGGGTTGGAGGCGACGCATGTGTAACTTAAGAGTTTGCGCATAGCCATGGATATCGGTAGGAGTTGGGTCACTACAATCTGAAGCGACCATCTCACCCGGCAAACGTAAGTTACTACCGTAAACTAACTCAGCAGGTGTACACTGTATATCCGTCTTGAGTGTAGAACGATGCTGAGAAGAACCAACGGCAGAGACTCAGTCCATTTCATATTGTCGACTGCCATTAGTGCGCTCTTAAGGTGTCGGTGGAATCGCTCCACCAAACCATTGGAAGCTGGATGATATGCGGTAGTGCGGATGCGTTTGCATCCCAACAGATTCATCAGCTTCTGGAAGGTAGCGGATTCGAACTGTTGGCCTCTGTCGGTTGTCACGGTGGAAGGGCATCCAAACTGTGAAACCCATCCTTCGACGAAAACCCGACTTACTGTTTCGGCAGTAATGTTAGACAATGGGATGGCTAACGGCCAGCGAGTAAACCTATCGACACATGTCAGTAGGTAACTATATCCATCGGAGGGTGGAAGTGGGCCGACAATGTCTAAGTGGACATGAGCGAATCGTGAGTCCGGTTTGGCGAAAGTTCCAAGTGGTGGGATGTTGTGACGATTCACCTTGGAACGTTGGCACTGAATACATGACCGTGTCCAGTTTCGAACATCACGGTTAATACCAGGCCAAACAAACCTAGCAGATATGAGTTTGTCAGTGGCACGGATGCCAGGATGTGAAAGATTGTGCAAAGCATCAAAAACATGCTTACGCAAGGGTAAAGGAACAACCGGTCTGGGTGTGCCTGTGGAGGTGTCGCACAATATTGACACTTCACTGTTCAGGAGCGGTAACGCTGTATCTTCAGAGAGGATGAGTGTTGAAGTTTTTCAATCTCCTCGTCTGAATCCTGAAGTT